GGTATGAAATGCATTCTCACCAAATCTTATGTTCAAACACAATTTTCTTAAGTAAAAAAAAAAAGATAAATTTCGGATGAACAGTAACAAAACAATATTCACTTAAAATTTGTAATTTTGTTTCTCTGAAATAAAGTTGAGTTTGGATTTAAGATTTGGTATGAATGTATTTTATGTCTATATCTACCTTTAGCAGCTTTTTCATGAATTTACAGAACTTATTAAATATGGTTTTTATGAGTTATTATCACTTATTTGATGGTTTCACTAGATTTCTTTTTCCTTTTCAAGGGAAGGGGGGAGGAGAGATTGTTTTTCATCATTTTATTACACCACCACCTGTTGAGATTCCGTCGTCCGGGATGCCCCTGCTGCTGCAGAAGGCAAAGAATGGCCACATACACTGCCACACACGACATCCTGCGCGACCCTGCTTGCTGTAAACGACGACGACCTCGATCTTCTTCTTCTAGGTCGTCGCGGCCTGCAGATCGCCGGCCACACTTATCTTTTTCTTTCCCTTCTCCAACACATCACGTGAATAAAATCGATCGAATCAATCGACCTGGCGGTGACAATTTTTTTTCCTGCACACTCCGATCAATCCCCTACATTTGACAGCAGCTCGACCAAAAAGCAATTATAATTTGGCAGCAGCTGCCCATGTTTTTATTTTATTTTTTGACCGGTGCATGCAACTTTCAGACCGGTCGACGCACATTTTGCCATCCAACTGTGTCTTCTTTGCCCTGCATTTAGTTGCTTTATGGCTCGTTCGAAATTTTTGTTCAGATAAGCTATTCCATTTCATGCAAAATGAGACAGATCATTACCGATTAATTAATTAAGATAAGAGTAAAGTTTGAATTAACTTGCACTATTGGGTGAGTACGATTTACCCTTGTAAACCCGAAAACCAGATATCTTTTACCCTTAACTATTGAAGATGAAAGATATTTGGTTTTTGGGGTTTAGATGTTTAGAGGGTAGTTCATACTCACACAATAGTTCAGGGTGTAATTCGGACTTTTTTAATTAATTAACAAGCATTAACTATTACAAACTTAAAAATAAATTTATTTTTCTTGTTTAAAAAATTATACAAAAGTTATTGCGTAAAATATACTACCGTTTAGCAGTTTAGAAAACATGTCAAATGTGAAATCAAACACAGCCATTAATGTCCATGTAAACATGCATCCATGGACTGAGCTTGAATTAAACGGTTTCCTCCACACACACACTCATACTCTCTCCGTCCCATAATATAAGGGATTTTGGTTTTTTTACTTACACTGTTTGACCACTCGTCTTATTTAAAAAATTTGTGCAATTATAAAAAACGAAAAATTGTGCTTAAAGTACTTTAGATAATAAAGTAAGTCACAGATAAAATAAATAATAATTCTAAATTTTTTAAATAAGACGAGTGGTCAAACAGTGAAAAAAAAGTCAAAATAACTTATATTATAGGACGGAGGGAGTATATAAAGTATACAGTATATACCTGTACTGCAATAGCCAACAGGACTAAATAATCCATGACGTCATAACCAATGTGGTTAGGTAAAACGTTAGGACGTCACACTACAGTCAAGTACTACATCCGTCTCAAAATAAGTGCAGTCATAAAAATCCGTGTTCAACTTTTGACCGTTCGTCTTATTTAAAAAATTTATAAAAAATTTTAAAAAATTTAGTCACACATAAAGTACCATTCATATTTTGTCATCTAATAACAACAAAAATATCAATCATAAAACTTTTTTAAATAAGACGAACGATCAATCGTTGGAGATAAATAGTGCAAAACTGCACTTATTTTGGGACAAAGAGAGTACAATAGTTGTAATTAATTAAAGTCTTATTTTCTTTCTTTCTTGACACAGAGTCGAGTACGAGAGTTACGTATAACGGACATAGGAGTAAGAACAACTGCACGTTACTGTTCTAGGCACCTTCTCTCTTGCACACAGTAAATAAATGTTTTTTTTTTTCTAACTACATTTCAATGATTCTGAGTATTCGATTTTGTGAGATCCCACGGATTCGATTCTTTTATTCTACTCTCTCCGTCATTATAATTATATTCCATTTCACAAGGTTAGGTTTTCATGAGACAGCGGAAGTACATCGGATAGTACAAATAGTAAAAACTTTATAGGGCTAAAATTAAAACCTAAAATCAATAATGCCCTAATAAATCCACATGTCATATAACATGTTAAAATACATCAATGGATAAAGATATCTTAGCGAAGTTTTAAATAAAATATTTTTATACTCATGAAAATCTATAATTAAATTTAAATTCTACTTACCTAGTACTACCACCTTGTCCCATTTTAAGTACAGTTGTAGGTTTCCGTGTCCAACGTTTAATCATCCATCTTATTTGAAAAGTTTATAATTTCTTTTAAAAAGTTAGTCACACATAAACTATTATTAATGTATTTTATCATATAATAATAATAATAATAATAATAATAATAATAATAATAATAATAATAATAATAATAATAATAATAATACTAACGGTAAGACATTATGCATAAACAGTGTAAAATTATGAATTTCGTTTAGACGGAGGTAGTAGTACGGCTAGTCGTAGAATGTACCGTAACAACCTTCGAAAAGCACGATTACGGCACATGAACAGCATGATTAATATATTACTCCACTATTCATGATGGATTTTGATGTCGTGTCCCACGTGCCATATGCAGTGGCAGATTCAAGAGAAAATTATGGCCTTCCCCAGAAAGTCCGAATTTTATTTCAACTCAACTACAGAAAATGAATTGGCCACACATGCATGCAACAGGTAGGAGCACTGCCTCCCCGCAAAAGAAAAAAAGAAAAAAAAGAAAAAAGAAAAAAAAAGAGAAGGAGCATTGCCACTCAAATAATCATGAGCACACTCATGCTTATATCCAGATTCGTTGTTTTAGAATATGTTCCATTCATACTTAGGTTAGTTTTTTTTTGGAAGGAGTGAGTACTGTCTAAACGAGAAGAGATCGATTATTGGTCCAAGTTTAATTTCTTCCTAACTTCAAAAGGTCCAAAAAAAAAAAAGGGGAGATGCTTGTATGGAGTACGTAGCTTTCTGTTCCACCAGAACACAGATCGATTGACAGGGGAAAAGGGATGTATGCGGCTTGTGCAGTGTCAACTTAATTTGAAACGGATCCAGTAATCATCTTTGGCCCTTCTCCACTCCACCCAGCTATGGAATGATGCCAGATTCTACCCAACAGATGGGCACAGCTTTGACAACACATACAAACACTGAGCTTAATTAGGTGTGAGAGGGTACAAACAATAGTTTAAGGAGGTCCCATGTGTAAGTAAGAGAAGAGGAAAAAGGGTAAGAGTAGTATTTTTAAATGTTGCTTGTGATTGATTATTTTTTTACCAAGTAATAAAATATTCCCTCCGTTTCAGGTTATAAGAAGTTTTGACTTTAATCAAAGTCAAACTGTTTTAAATTTAACTAAATTTATAGACAAATATAATAATATTTATAATACTAAATTAGTTTCATCAAATCAATAATTGAATATATTTTCATAATAAATTTGTCTTGGGTTAAAAATGTTACTACCTTTTTTCTATAAACTTAATCAAACTTAAAGCAGTTTAACTTTAACTAAAGTCAAAACGTCTTATAACTTGAAACGGAGAGAGTATCAAATAGTAAAACACCGTCTAATGCTTGTCTAATATCAGACGAGGATCACTATTTGTGCCTTTTTTTTTCTAAAACGCAATATAGATTTATGCGCTCATATAAACATGCGCATACTAACCCCTGTAAATATACATATGCATACCTATTCCTATGAGCATCTCCAAAGATTATATATCAGCGTATCTTCAAATTCACGAAATCGCTATAAGCGTATCGCTGTCGACGGACACGTTGCCTGCGACTGAAAGAATAATCATCAGCCTCACATGCAAGCATCTATGTGTCTAGAAGGGAATAAGATTCTCTGATATAAGTTATATGGCTTTGAGCCACTGACATGTGGAATCTATTTTTCATATATCTATCTATTAATAACCTTATAATTAGGTATCTCAATTGATGAGGCTAGGGCATGCCTTTATCCTTTGAGAAGCCAAAAACTATCCACAGAGAGATACACTGCAGTTGATAGTACGATGATAAAAAATGTATGGTTTCAACCGTAAAATTTCGCGTTCAATTTTAACACGCTCACAATTTCTTCATCCCTTTAAATCATTTTTTTAGAAAACAATCCGTGGAGTGAACAAAACGGCAGGCAGAACTACTCGGGCAGAGGTTTTTGCCCCTGTTTGGCCGCAAAACATCCGTCCGTCCGACTTCCGTCGACCGACATACCTACGCTCTCGATCACCTACCCACACACCTGCTTCATCCCGGTGGGACCCACACTGACCTCTCACTCACCGCCAGTTGGCCCCCACCAACTCACCAAGCAGCCTCCTCCACCACCACACGCACGTACAGACGTACTCGATCTTGGCCTCACCGGGCAGCAAAAATGAAGGGAGCCACAGGAGAGAGCACACGCAACGTGTCCTCCACAAATCGATCATCGCCCTCCTCGTCGTCATCGACATCGTATCACTCACTGCTCACTTAACCCGCCCCCCCCCCCCCCCCCCCTACGACCACTACATGCCACTAACCCCCCCTCTTTCTCTCTCCAATTCTTCTAATTCTAGATTTTTAGATAACGTTATTGTTTATTTTAGATAGTGTTCTAAATTCTAGATGTGGTCAAGCTTAGCTAAAAGAAATAAAGAATAGCTAAATAAAGTGCATGCACAATAAATTTTGATAAATTCTTGATCTATATTTATAGTATCGTATCATATACTAGGATAGTTTATTTTAAATGAAAGGATTAGAGATAGCTTTCGAAACATAAGTATATGTTGGTATGTCCACGGTTTCTTTTTCCTCGATTCAAAGACTCAGCAACAACGATGCGGCAACAACTTAACTGCTTCACGGCAGTACACACCTTGGTATCGATCGTAGCAGCCTTAATTGGCCAACTCCTTTAATTTGCTCCCTCTCCATATAGCAACAGCGTCAGATCACAATATATCCACAAAGCTTATAAATAGTGCTGCCTAGCTTCTCTCTCTCTCAATGCTAGCTAAACCATAGCTAGCTTGCCTACCTCCTCCTCTTCTTCTTCTTCTTCTTCAAAAGCTTCTTCAGAGTGGTGGCGATATCGACTACACACTGTTCTTGGCTACATCGATTGATTGATCAGAGAGAGATATAACGATATCGATCGGATCAGTTAAATAGAGTAATTGATCGATATGGGGAAGCTGGTGAGCAAGAGCTGGCAGGAGTCGAAGCTGCTGTGGCACATCGCGTTCCCGGCCATCCTGACGGCCGTCTTCCAGTTCTCCATCGGCTTCGTCACCGTCGGCTTCGTGGGCCACATCGGCCAGGTCGAGCTCGCCGCCGTCACCGTCGTCGAGAACGTCATCGAGGGCTTCGCCTACGGTGTCCTGGTACGTATATATACTCAATACGCGCAACCTCATCGCACACAAACTGAGGACTCATCATCTCTCCTCTCCTCTTCCATTAATTGCTAACTTTTGATCACCATCACATATATACTTTGCAGCACACATGTTAGTTACTGTGTTTGTACGAAATGCATGTTCATTAATTCAGAACATCTTATTAGATTTGCATCGAGCTAGCTAACCCTCTTAAAAGTTCAGACAGTTAATACAGAGGAGGTAATAAGCTTATTATATTAGTGCTGCTTCCAGCTACAAGTTCATATGTAAATTAGTACGGCTGTGTTCTTTCCCTCATTTTCCAAACCCACCTATGTTGTTTTCCGTACGTACGCTTTTCAAACTGCTAAATTATATGATTTATGCAAAAAAAAAAACTTTCTATATAAAAGTTGTTTTAAAAAATCATATTAATCCATATTTTAAAAAAAATAGTTAATACTTAATTAATTATGCAATAATACGGGAGGAGGGGTCTCTCCTCCCGAAGACAGCCTAATTGTTTAACACCACAAAAACGTTGAAAAATCCACTCAACTTGCTTAATTGGTAAAGTTTGTCACAGTTAGCTAGCTAGCATATTAATTCCTCTATAGTTGGTACGTGCACTTGTGCGAGGAATTAGATTCGGCTAGCTTGCATGTTTTTTTCTCAAAAACTCTTCTCCTTGCCACCATTTCGTTCAAAACAAAAGCACTTTTAAAATTAAATTGGAATATTTATTTGGAGCGAACCTGTGAATGAAATACATATGTATATATAGCTGGCTAAGCATATAGCACTACCTAAATTAATAAGTAAATTAAGCAGGCCATAATTAACGAGCCGAGCTAAACCATGCGACAAAGGGTGGTTTGCACGTCTCCATCTGCATCTGCCCCGGCTGTAATCTACACCATCAATTTGTTTCCTTCAATTAATTGGAGGATTTCAATTCGATCCATCATATCCATGCGTCATGCATGCATCCGGATTAAGCAGCTAGCAGAAACGAATTTGCCAAGAAAATTAATAAGCTCGATCAGCTACAAAATATGGAGTACAGCTAAACAAAAACAATTTAATGAATCGATTAATCAACGGCTAATATATCGATTGATGTGTACTGATGACCACTTTTAGTTCGATTCTAGCTAGTAGCAAGCAAGTCTAGCTTGTTAAGTACTTATGCCTTTATATGGGGCCATGTCGAATATAGGCGTACAACTAAAGAAACATTAGTTAGTTAATTAATACATGTCACGGTGCTTTAACTTAATTATAATCTTCATCCACGAACGTTTGTACGTACGGCATACTACACGTTGAACTGGCATTATAATCTTTGCCTTTTCCGACACATGTACGCTAGTGATTAATTTTGTGGTTTTGGGAAAGGGACTAGGGATCACATGCACAAATTAAAGGTGAATAAAGCAATTCAAGCTAATTGATTTACCAACCAACAACCAGATAGATGCTTTAGCTAGCGTGGGCAATCAGAAAACCACGCAAATTAAGGACCATCAAATAATGCCTGGTTGAAGATTTGCCATCTCATTCTCTAAAATGATGATGATCATCACTTCCCGGAAGCTGGTAGAAGCTAGCACCAATACTGCAACTAACCATGTACGTACACACGTACACGATTCTTCCCACTATCGTTCCATCTCTATATATATACCCCTCTCTCTATCGCGCGTCTCTTATTTATCTATCTCTCTCCGTTCAAAAATAATTATAAGTATTCGTGAACGGTACGGTGTGCGTGTCGAGATTGTGCACCGATCACATCATGGTAAATTCTTCCCACTGTCGATCTATCTATATATATCCTTCTCTTAGCACAACGATGTGTCGCGTGTCTCTTATTTGTCTATCTGTCTCTCTCTCTCTATTCGTAAATAACTGTAAGTATTCACGAACGGTATACGTGTGTCAAGATTGTGCACCGATCACATGTAATAGATTGTAGCGAGTTAATATACATGGTTATTGAGAACTTGAGGATGACTGGATGATCGATATAGCTAGGTAGCTAGACAAGTAGCTACAGCTAGGCCAAACATTTGTTCCGGCAGTGGATGGAGCTAGGTGATCGATCGAGATTGAGTGTTGACCGAATGGGCGTAGTAGGAGTAGGACATGGATGGATGGATCGATGGCGACGATCGATGGAGGCGTCTCGACACGTACGACGTCGAGCAAACCAAACCCAATTCAACCAAACCAAACCCATTTTGGTATTTAGCTAGCTAGCTCTCGATCGCTTTCTTTTTAGATTAGTAGATTTGTTCGACCGTCTCCGAATCACGCCATTTCGATAGATGCTCCACTTGCACGGCCGGCCGATGATTTTTGTAGGCACCAAATCCTATTCCTATACTTACTTGTTGTTCCCTCGGATCAAGTTCTATTTTGTTAGTACGACGGGAAAAGAACATTATTTTAATTAATTCAGTGGTTTTCTTCTTGGTTCATCATGTACTCAACAAATTTCTGCTGATTCTATGAAACTGGATTATATATGGAGAAAACAATGGGAAAAAGGTAAAAGAATAACTCCCAAAACATGAACTGATCATAAGTAAAATAATAATGAGCATATAAAAGTATCAAACCAAGTATGCTGGGTAATTTTATCATTCTTGAGAAGGTATTGGAATATACCATATTTTCTAGTGTAAAATTTGGTCCCTCCATGTACTAACTACTTTAAGATACCAAAAATTTTATTGTAAAAATTTAGATATCTCGAGATACTTTCTAACAGACTATAAAATTTCTCATCTATGCTACATACAGCTAGGCATGGGGAGTGCGTTGGAGACGTTGTGCGGGCAGGCGGTGGGTGCTGGGCAGGTGTCCATGCTAGGCGTCTACATCCAACGCTCATGGATCATCTGTGGCGCCACCGCTGTCATCCTCACCCCGACCTACGTCTTCACCGCCGGCATCCTCATAGGGCTTCGCCAGCCCACCGACATCGCCGCCGTTGCCGGCACCTACACCCGTTGGGTCATCCCGCAGCTCTTCGCCTACGCTGCCAACTTCCCTCTCCAGAAGTTCTTTCAATCGCAGAGCAAGGTGTGGGCCATGACGGCCATCTCCGGCATCGCCCTGGCGCTCCACGTTGTGCTCAACTACATCTTCCTCACCCGCCTCGGCCACGGCCTCGTCGCCGCCGCTCTCATCGGCAATGTCACCTGGTGGCTCATCATTCTCGCCCAGTTCATCTACCTCGTCTCCGGCTGCTTCCCGGAGGCTTGGAAGGGGTTCTCCATGCTCGCCTTCAAGAACCTCGCCGCCTTCGTCAAGCTCTCGCTCGCCTCCGCCATCATGCTCTGGTAATCATTCCTGGATCCGGTCGTTTTCATTTACTTTTGACAATTTTGACCAATTAATGCACACATAGGGTGGCAATTACCTTTTGAAAATAGAATGACCAAAATATACACCTCTTGATAAACCCTTGTTTAAATAAAAAGAAAAAAAATCTAAATGCAATATTTGGCGGTATTATTTCTTCTGTAGCAAGTGTTCAAATTTTGATTTGAGCCAACATTAAGCTAGATTCTTCGGTGGACAGCCACAAGGGCAAAATAGGAAATTGTGCATTTGAAAAGGTGGAAGAAAATTTTAGTCAAAGTTGACAAAATTATGCAAACGGATGGAGTAACTAATTTGCTACACCTAATCATATATGCTTGCGTCACCAATTCAACTCACCTAATTTTGATTATTTATTTTGATCTTGTTGATGAAATGGTTAGCTTGGAGCTTTGGTACTACACAGCAGTGCTCATCCTTGTCGGCCTCCTAAAGGATGCCAAACTCCAGGTTGACGTCATGTCTGTCTGGTATGTGACGAATTTCACCAACTCCCTTTTATAACTAATTTCTATATAGTATATATATATGTGTGTCTTTGCATATAATTAATTAATCCGATGAAAATTTGCAGCATCAATTACCAGCTCTGGACCTTGATGGTTGCACTGGGCTTCAATGCAGCAGTGAGGTAATCAATAATCTACCACCATTCTAGCTAATTACTCCCTCCATCTATTTTTGATAGGCATATTTTCAAATCTGAAAATTTTATTTTTAATAGGCATATTTCAATCCAACGACCTATCATCTTAATGACTTTTTTTTGGATTTAATGCGTAACTCTCTATTCTTCTACACAAGATTGGCAACATAGGCATCGAAAAATATAAATATTAATGAATCGATTGTTTACGAAGAATGACTAGTAGCATGTTTAAATAGATGATAAGTACAATTACTTATCCTTGGTCTGTGTGCCAAGATGAAATATGACTATGAAAAGTAGATGGAGGGAGTAATTACTGAACAATTAACTAAATTGACGCTGATTAATTACTGCTTCAATTCATAATATATGCACAGCGTGAGGGTGTCGAACGAGCTGGGCGCGAACCGGCCGAAGGCGGCCAAGTTCGCGGTGGCGATGGCGGTGTCGACGTCGGCGATCGTCGGCGCCGTTTTCATGGCCGTGTTCTTCATTTGGAGGACGCAGCTGCCGCGCTTCTTCAGCGACGACGCCGACGTGGTCCGTGAGTCCGCCAAGCTCGGCTACCTCCTCGCCGCAACCATCTTCCTCAACAGCATCCAGCCCGTCCTCTCTGGTAAATTAATTAAATTCCTTTCATTTTATCAACTTAATTATCATTAGTGGAAATTACTTGATCGACCGATCATTCATTCGAGACACATTGTTTTTTTTATTATTATTTTGGATTTTTAGCTGGAGAAGCAGTTGATATCTGAACAATTAGATAATTTTGGGTGGTCTGAATTTTGCAGGTGTGGCGATAGGAGCAGGGTGGCAATCACTCGTGGCGTTCATAAACATAGGCTGCTACTACCTGGTTGGCATCCCACTGGGTGTCCTCTTTGGCTTCAAGCTGAAGCTCGATGCAATGGTAATATATAGCACAAGTTCAATCCGCACAAATTAATCTGAATTAGTAATGCACATATATATTCTGCAGCACAACTATATATTGATATGATTTGCTACTATTTATTTTGCAGGGGATTTGGGTGGGTATGTCACTTGGCACGCTGCTTCAGACAGCCATACTGGCCTTCATTTCCTTCAGGACAAAATGGGAGAGACAGGTGAGTTAACAGCTATCTCCTCTTCTGATTAAGCTAAATAATTAACTCTGAACACATCACTGTCAGGCTAAGTTGGAGAGTTCCCTTGAAGATTAATCTGAAATAAGTTAACTGACAAAGCTGTAAATATATATTTTTCAGGCCATGATGGCTGAGGAGAGGATCAGAGAGTGGGGAGGGAGGAACGACGACGCGCTGCCGTCCACGACGACGCCGACGGCTGATGATCATAACGTAGATAGATGATGATGAGATCAGATGGTTAATTATTCCTTCAAATTAATTAAACTTGCAGTTAAATAGTGGAGTTATTTATACACACATCACAAAAGCTGAGTAGGCTTGTAGAATTATTTTGTACAGATTCATATATGGTCTATGTAGAGAGAGAAGCTCGGTTTTTATAGGTGCTAAACCTCAGCTTGAATTTCGTTTTGTCTTGCCTTCCTTTTCTTCCATTTTGGTTGGAAGATGATCAGCTGGAAATTATTGTACTACTGAGGTTCATTTTCACATTGAGGTGATTTTTTGAGCTCCGTAATTATAAAACGTCTCTTTATTTGACAAGGTATCCCACTAGATCAAGGAAAATACCAGTCCCCGCTGTTAGTAACAAGTTTAACTCAACCCGGACAAAATAAGAGCTGAAGTTAAATTAAATCTTAAATTCCCGTGATATTCAATAAATCTATACCACCAACTCCCCTATCTTTTTCAAGGAATAAAAAAAGATAAGTGGGGCTAGAGAGTAGAGAGTCCTCATATCAACCAGCCTCATCAGCTATCTACTGTTCGTAAAATTAAAAAAAAAGGACAATGTGAGATCAACGGTGTTCACACGTTAATAACAAATATATGCAATAATTAAGATATACTCCTTTATGCAGAAAATGATTGTAATACCAGGTTGATAATAGTTTTCTAAAAAATGACAAATATGTTTTTACATAGGAATATAGATAATATGGATGCAAAGAAAGTCAAAATTAACACACACACACTCTCTCTCTCTCTCATTATGGTATTGTTCCACCAGCAGTTAGCACATTGCTGGACAGAGGGTCCAGGCCGGCGTCAGGGGATGCTATTGGATAAGGCAGTCCAACTTAGGCCTTGTTTAGATAAAAAAAAATTTGATTAAAAACGTCACATCAAATATTTAGACATATACATAGGACATTAAATGTAGAAAAAAAAACCAATTTCACAGTTTATATGTAAATTACGAGACGAATCTTTTGAGCTTAATTACGCCATGATTTCACAATGTGATGTTATAGTAAACATTTGCTAATGATGGATTAATTAGGCTTAATAAATTCATATCGCGATTTATAGGCGGAATCTGTAATTTGTTTTGTTATTAGTCTACGTTTAATACTTCAAATGTGTGTCCGTATACTTCAAAAACTTTACACCCAAAAAACTTAACACACCCTTACATAATTTTTTTTAAATACAGTAACATAACAAAACATATAAAATAAAAAATAAGTATAAAATTGATTAAAGGTGTATGATGGTATGTTAATAATAGAGTTTTTTTTTCTTTTCTCTTCCTAGAAGTTATTTTTTTTCCTATTTCATAGATGGGTCTTAGGCTGGGTTTTTCTTTTCTTTTTTTTTTGCCATCCACAGTTCATCGGAACCGCCTAGTTTAGATACGACTGGTGTTGCATTGTTATGAGTCACGCCAACACTATTCATATTGATGTGCCGATTAAGTGCTAAATATATTTTAATAAGAAAAAAATGGTATTAAAGTATTTTTCTACAACAACTAATATAATACACAGTCCCTGCATACTCTGCATATACATCAAGTTATCAACCCAAGTCAATATATGTATACAAAGTTTGATTGCACAAACTAATCACACATATTGTGAAAATATGATCCATATTCCCCCCACCAACTACGTACCTAACCAGATGATGTCAGTTATCTCCATCACAAAAATTGCCCTCTTACTGATCGAAAAGGTTGTGAAGATTGCGTCCATCCTACCCCATCAACACAAGCAAGAAAAATGAAGTCATCTTAAAATGATCAACTGCCACGTTCCTCGCGTCTCAAGTCAATCGATTCTTCACGTTTCTGACGAAAATGACCTGTTCAATGCCAGTTCGCAATCCTTCAAATGGAAGTGAGAAGCAAAGAATTAAGATGGAATATCCATTTGATACTTTTATTGTTTATTCACGCATGGTTTTTACTACTAGACGCGCATGACTTTATCTGTCTTGTAATTTCCGCATAGTCAAACCCATTATTTAGAAAATGAAACAAACAATATTTTTGTTACAAACACAATAGAAGCGCAGCACACCCACACCCTACACATGAGCAGCTTCGAAATACTGGGCCAGTATATCGCTTCGCTGTCGACGAGTAAATTGCTAACCACTGAATGAATAATCGGTTGTACATACGAGCACCCGTAGTCAGGTTTCACCATTAGAAACTTGACTAGATGAGCACAAAGAACAAATTTGGTCCTGTTAATACCATGTGTGAACGAACTACCAAGTGATGTAGGTCAAATGATTTTCTTTTTATTTCCTTACCCATGGCAGAACGACAGGACATGAATCAATCCATGATGTTGTATAAATGTATTATGTACAAGTTTCCAGCTTTGTTCATCACAACCTTCAATCAGCCACTGGGTTTTTGTTTATTCTTACACGGTTTTCATGATCTGTGACACAGCTGATAAAATTTTCAATTGAGTTCGTAGGTGCATAAATATATTAGACATGTCAAATAGATAGTGCTCTCTCTGTTTATTTTTTTCCGAACATGCAGCAGAACTGTGTATCGTTATTAATAATAAGAAGAAAAAAAGATGTATTACAACCAATTCTAATCTATAACAAGTGTTCCATTAACTAATTGTTAGTTCTATAAAATACCCCTTCGCTTTTTAATATATGACATTGTTAACATTTTAATACACGTTTAATTATTCATCTTATTAACAAAATTATATATTTTCTATTTATTTTATTGTGACTCGATTCATCATCTAAAGTTCTTCGAGCATTACTTATATTTTTCTGTTTATATAAAAATTTAAATAAAATAAATGATTAAATGTATATTCAAAAGTTGACATCTTCATATATAAAAAAAAGCGGAGGGAGTAGTTAGCTGCATGCTTAATTTCCAACACGATGACAATATTTTGGAAACTCTTTGAGGACACACATGTATATTCAATGAGTTGAGGATTTGGTTATCTCGTTTAAACAACATTTGGTTTACATATATATGCTCCACGAAAATTCATTCACAAGTCAAACATATTCTTTTGGGATATTGCTGGAAAGAAGCAAAGTTGGGACCGTTGAATTTCACGCAGGGACCAAAGCTATCATGAAACATGCACTCTCAGGCATCGAAAGCTTATTTGAGTTGACTCGATTAATCTTGAACCTTCAAATAGTACTTCTACAGCTAAAGAAAGATTAATGTGGCTGTATGAGATGCAGTTGGCCCTATCATATAGTGCATCTTAATTTGTTGATATGCAAGTTTACCTACTTTTTGATTAAGACATACCCTTAACATTATTCATGGCTCTGTTTTTTCCGGCTTCTACTTATGTAATCGTGTATCTCATTAATATAGAGTGTATTTTGGCTATCGATAAAGATCAAGCATATGGTAAAAGTGAAAAAATTATGTCTTTTGTCTTCTCCAATGCTAATGTAATTAAAATAATTTCTACATTTGTCTTCTTCACAATATAAACCAAATAGAAGTACTAACCAATGATGAGGTTAACTTTATATTTTTGAAATTAATTTGTAAAAATAATCGACAATGCTACTTCTACCAACTAACAAGTTTTAACAATAGAACGAGATTGTGCCCATATTATTTAAGATAAAAGGAAATTTTTTTTAATCCCCTAAGAGCAGCAAAAAAAAAAACAGAGAGAAATGGGATGGAAAATCCGACTAAACAGTGAATGATGAGAGCTCAAGCAGTTCATTTTGCTCCGCGAGCGTCCACGGCATGGCTTGGCCTCCTCTTTGACTTCTGTAAATAGGCCAAGGGACCAAGATTTCTTGTGTTTCTTTCTCTCCATATCTCGCTGACTTTTAGACATTTACCAACTACATAAAAGTAAGAACAATAATGTGTCATCATAAATTATTTTTGTATGTACCAACTGCTACTAAATGAACTTGATAAGGAGCAAAAGAGTTGCAGTAATAAATAGCGACAAGTTGATAAAAGTTCCCAGTGTTGCACGACCAGCATGATTGAAATGTTGGCTATAGATGCAGTCAATGAGCGTTGTGATGAGCTTGGATCAAGGTTTACATTACCGTCGGTAACCGTGTAATTACCGGCCTTACCGCTGGGTGCGGTAATAGAAAAACCACGGTAACCTCCTTAAATTCAAATAAATTTAAAAAATAATTTGAATTTTTGATAAATTTTGCACGGTTTCGTACGGTTTTTTACGGTAACCATGTTTACTGTCAGGGTGCGGTAACCCCGACCCCAGCGGTTTGAAAACCCTGGTTTGGATAAGGTTTGACGCGGCCAAAGTGGTAGTAATGGTCTTTTTTTTAAGGAAAGTGGTAATAATTAATTATGTTCGATATGATAGTTTTCTATGGGGGGAAGCCATATATACTATCTCTCTGATCGATATGGAGATAACGGAGCCAGGATTTGTTGGATTAGGTACAGATTTATAAGATCGTAATGCAAATTGTTGCTCTTAATTAGGCCTGGCATGTGACATCACAAGCTAAGAAGGTTTTTAAAACATCAAGTTCACTAGACAAGGTGGTTGTGTGCTTTGAGCCCAATCAAATATTCAGTTTATCTCGCTATGGTCTTGAACTCAGAGACATTCTCTTTCTAATATTTCGATTGGGCTGTGGCCTATATACAGTGGAAATAAGGTCTGTTGGGCTATATATATGTTGTCAATGGGTGTATATTTCAAAACTTATGCCCCCTTTGATTCAAAGACAATTTATAGGAATTTTAGAGTATTTCATTTCTATAAGAATTTTTCCTACATGATGCCAAGTGCATTGGGCCATAAGACTAAGGCCCATGTACAACCCATACTTGTTAAGTTAGAGATAAGATTATTAGTTTAGTTAGAGATAAGATTAGATTAAATCAGTTAGAGATAAGATTAGGTTGAATCCTTGAAAGAGCATCTATGCCCTTAGTGGGTTTTGGTTAATTGATAACGAGCGATTAAGGGACTAATGCGCTTATTGAGTGTATAAGCAAATGATTAGTCCGATGAAGAAGCTAGAAGATTGACTTATCGATGGATGAGAATTAAAGAGAAGAGATTGAAGATGCGAGATATGAAGTGACTACCTATGGCAAGACGGTGAAGCATAAGCGACACTCAGCTGCGATGGACCATGCGGTGGTGAAGGGCAAGCAAGGGGCTTGGCGCCGACGAACCGAAACCAGTGGTGAAGGGCGAGTGAAGACTGTGTCGTGATGGACCGTGTGAGGCCATTTGAAGCCATGGATTATCCGCATCAATCATTTGAGAAATGGAAGATGAAATGTCAAAGATCAAGAAGATGAGATCTTCCTGATGATCAAATGACCTTGACGTTGGTAACCCTCCAAGTGAAGAAACAATATGGTGTGAAGGTACTCCTATTGGTTTAACTTTGCTTTTTAAATTTGAGTTTAGGATGCCGTACTATTAAGAGGGATACCACATGCATATAATTGGTTGAATACTAGTGCTCAAAATGCTTCATCTTTGTGTGAGTTGAAAAACTAAGCCAAAATTTCAATCCCGAGTTGTTTCACTTGCCACAACACTTACACCGGGTTTCTTTGCAAGTTTTTCATAATCTCTTGAAGGTTTTGGACCATGTTTTATGTTGGGTTTGATAGCCCACGAAACTAGCTTTCCATAGAGTCCAAGATCTTTGAAATCGGAGTTCGGAGTAAAAAGTTATTGCATTTTTACTTGAGCAACATCAGACTATCCGATTTGAAATCAGACTATCCAATGTATCGGACTATCCGATTTTTCACAGAACTTCACTCTCTGTCTTTGTTTGAAAAATCCTTTCGAGTGAGTTTTTCTAAGTGTCGGAGTATCCGATGTTGGATCAGATAGTCCGATGATACAGAGACTCCGAAATTTCATGGAACTTGAGTCTCTGTTTGAGGACGAAGTTTTTGCTTCTAAAATATCAGATACTCCGATTTAACATTAGATAGCCCGATGTCTCGGAAAGTCCGAAATTTCATGGAACTTCGTTCTATGTTTCTCGTTGCCTTGGAGGTTTAAAATATCGGACTATCCGATCTTGTATCAGACTATCCGACGTGGGCTGAAAGATTCCCCTCCAACGGTCACATTTTGGGGGATCTATATAAACCCCCCACCAACCCTTTTCTAGGGTTGCCCAAAACTGATTTCATTCCAATCTTGCTTTGGGTTGAGCTTTATGCTAAGTGCTTTGGATCTTTGAGCTCTCTCCCTCTCTATCTCAAATCCCTCTTGTTCTTTGTGACTTGGATCTTTGTGTGTGTATTTGGAGTTTGGGAGCCTAGTGTGTGTTTCTCTAGATCTTGAGCACTAGGATTTGTCCAAGAGTTGTGTGGTGTTTATTACTCTTGGAGGTTGAGGACTCCTAGACGGCTAGGTGTCATTCTTGGGCCACCGATCTACGTGTGGTTGGCCAAGAGAAGTTTGTGAAGGCCGGATCTCGCCTCCGCAAGGAAAGAGATACCCTTAGTGGAAGGAGGAGTGTATTTGTGCAACCTCACGAGGATAGGGTTGAAAAAGACTCGGCTCTTTGCGAGCCCCTCAACGGAGACTAGAATCCCCTCAAGGATTTGAACTCCGGGAAATACATCGTCGCATAAACCTCAGTGATCTCTCTCTTTACCTTATTGTTGCATTGCTTTATGCCATGCTAATATTGTTGTTGGTTGAGCTCACCTCCTTGCGTGTGGATTGGATCTAGAGCTTTTAGGTTGTTTCTTGTTTGTTTTGTTATTGTGCAGGTCAGATAGTCTGATCTCATTTCAGACAATCCGATCACATAGGACTATCCGACCTGATATTAGACAATCCGACCCTGTTTTGTTTTAGCTTCCGCATTTATTTTAGAAATCGCCTATTCACCCCCCCCCCCCTCTGGTGACATTAAGGTCCTTTCAATCCTTACTAAGGGGTTAAGCTATACCATCTATATAAATATGGGATAAAGATGGGATTGTGTCTATTATCATTAAGGGTCTGTTCGGAACCCAGGGTTCCCAACCCCTCTCCATCGTATTCCGCACGCATGCTTTTCAAACTGCTAAACGGTGTGTTTTTTGCAAAAAGTTTCTATACGAAAGTTGCTTAAAAAATTATATTGATCCATTTTTTTAAAAAATAGCTCATACTTAATTAATCATGCACTAATGGACCGCTCCGTTTTCCAAGCGCACTGTTCCGGATGGGAACCGCCAGCAGCGAACAGAGCCTAAGCAATGAATATCAATTATTCTAATCTCTCTCTCTCCCAACAATGTTCTTCTCCCTAATCTAAATCTACATCCCTTCTCCAGGAGCCGACGCCGCCCGGCTATCTTCCCGATGGTGTTTATCCTGTCATAGCCTTGGTCATGACACATAACCCTTTGAATCAAAGAATTGAACCCTATAAAATCCTATGAAATTTCTATGGAATATCTTTTTCCACGCAAGTTTTGAAGCAAATTTATCATGGAAAGAATCCCTTGAGTCTTTATCTCTCCTTAAATTCTTGTGTTTTTTTACGACCCAATCAAATAGTCATTCCTATGTTTTGCAGTTCTATGTTTTACACTTGTATTCCTGTCACAGAATTATATGTTTTTCCTATTCCTCTGCAGTGAAAAGGGGCCCTTAAACCGTGCGATTGGACAATCTAGTCAGTGTCATGTCAGGATCTTCAAAATGTCTCTCCTTATTTCAATGAATCCAACGCATTCACTCAGGGCAACAAAAGAGTATTTTGTCTTATTTCTATACGTTATGTGTATACAATTTATTTATGATATCGATTACTTAAGACTGGTTTCACCTCGCTGATTTTATAGTACACGACAATCAATTTGAATGTTTTTTCATTATTATTCAAAATGACCAAATATATACTCTCTCTGTCCCCCTATAAAAAATACTTGTTCTGGGTTCAAACCTGTCCATTCATCCGTTCCAGAAAGATTACAATTCTAAAAGAGAGGGAGATTAGTAGCAAAGGAAAATAACCACACATCCCTTATTAAATGAGGGATGATTGGAGGTGGGAGGTTAATCGGCGGTAAAATGAAAAGAAATTTAAACGAGAGATGAAACAGTAGTACTCTAGGATGATTTTTTTTATAACATTTAAATCACAGAATTATAATTTTTTGGGACGGAGGGAGTATAAAACATGTACCGCAAGATCTCCATGAAAAATATGTATGTCAAGATCGCAGATCCTTAATGTGCATCCATGGAAAAAAATATATTTACATCCACACTTTCTCAACATCATGGTAAACATTTTTTTTATCAACAACTAAGAACAAAAATGATGTGTGTCGTTGCCAGTGCACTTTTAAAAAGAAATGACTATCTTAGAAAATACTACTAAAAATCATGGATTTCTACTGCGCCTTATAGAAGCTTCTTTTACATTTTAAAGAGAAGCTTAAAGGAGAACACTTTTACCATCATCTTGTAACTTCATATATGTAAAATATTTTTTGACAGGAAACAGAAAAGGTTTTCCACTATCTACGGACGACTAAATACTTGTTTCTCAAGATTGAAAAAGAAAGAAGTAAATTTCACAAAACTATAACTGTTTAGTCAAAATTATCACTATGGCTAGAAGCCTAGAACTTCATCCAAACATTTTTCACAAAACAACAACGATAGCGAATGATTTTATCAGAAACTAAGTGTTTGACATCTAGGCCCAAAGTGTAACAGTTTTCTGATAAAATCAACTACTGCTGTAGTTTTCTGAAATAGCCAACTAATATTGCAGCAAACCGATAATTTAGACAAGATAGTTGTAACTTTCTGAAATTTACTAAAACAAAATCATTGTTTCTCGTCTATTCTATTGCTCAGTTAATGTTAACAGCATATATACCCTTTTGGCATGTCTAACTTGAACCAAAATTCCTCAATGTATTCTTCATACTCTAAATTTGTGACTTCAACACGGGAAAACCCCTGTAAGCTTCATATGATCAAGAGTTTTTCTCAAGCCATAGCGTTCAACGGCCTTAATGCCATCTCGAAAACCATCTCCATATACATCAGAAGGGTCTGTTTCAATCTGGTGCTTGAAGAACTCTCCAAGTTTCTTCTCGAAGTCCGTCTGTACACCCTTTTTGGATGAGGGTGCTGAAGATGACGACGATGACGATGATGATGCTGCGATGGATGCAATGATGCTACTAGATCCTGATGTTATTTCTGACTCGAGCCACATATGAGCTAGAACCTGACAGATGCCTTCTTCGACCTTTGGATCAAGAGTTTGGTATCCTGACAAAAATTGTTATTAAGATGTAAATGTAACATTCAATAGAACTAAATTTAACATGAAAGCCTACGTTAATCCACAGAGGTATGAATAGATATAGCTGCAAAAGGTAAAAAAGGGTAACTGTAGTACCCTTAAGTCGGAGGTAAGCATGCATCATCTCATGAGCCAGAATGGAGCCAGTTAACAGTCTGCATGTAATCAAAATAATGGAAATGAAAATCTATGCATTCAGGACAAATAACTTCTCCTAAGTTGGTAGGCCAGTTGCATAATCAACGCCAATAACAAGGGGAAAAACGAAAAATAATAGTAAATGCAGTATAATAGTACTCATTAGTTAGATCGATAAAACATGAAAATAATTCAATATACCTTGGAAGGCCATATAGGATAAGAATTGCAGTCACTTCACAGCGTCTAACCAGTTTGTATGGTCCTGTAATCATGTCTACAATCTTGTTTCCTGGTCCAATTACTGGTCTTCTTAGTATCTGCATATATTATGTTATTTAGCCATAAGCCAGGTATCAAGTTCACATATTCAATAGATAACTAAAGCAAGGCATTATTTTTAAGAACGTACAGTTCGGACAATTTGCTCTTCAGATAGGCAGAGACCTCTGGTTTCAGCAAGGTGATGTCCCTATTAAGGAGGTCAAAGGAACAATAAGTTAAATAATGTACATTACTGTTAGAATATTATAAAATGATCATTTCACTTACAGTTTTCTCGGCCTCCATGGCTTCATTTAAAGCTTGTCGCTCAACCAACAGCAAGGGAATTTGTTGTTCCACTTTCATGTTCAAACCCTCATAGAATTCTTGAATATCAATATATAGTGGTTGGCATTCGTCTGTGTCCATTATTGAAGTATTCAGGCATTCCAAACAGAGTTTCCGGCCATCATCTAATGTTATGTACTTACTATCCTTTGGCTAGCATTGAGATTAAACAAAAGAAAAGAAGGGAAGTCATTAGATTCACCAATTCATAATTAAAATACGTTTTCACTACGAATGGACATTGCTATGAAATCATCAAATGCATGTGCATAGGCACATATTGAAAACAAACACATTTAAATTGTAAGGGTGATTTCGAAAAAAAATTTGTAAGGGTGGTAACAGAAGCTACATGCCAAACTTCTATTTTTTTTGTTGAGGGAACATGCCGAAGTGTTAGTTACATCCTGACACTTCCATTTGAATCACTACATGTATAACTTTTTTATAGGATAGCACAAACCTCCATTCGTTCACAACTGCAGCACCTAGGAGTACGATCAGTTTCATGGGCAGGACAATACTTCTGCATCCAGAAAGGATGGGCCCGATATTCAATGTGGCCATCTTTGTTTGTTGGAATCTGATCATCAAATGTCATTAGCACAACTCAACAGATAAAGTTAAAAAGTAGCTATTACTAAATTCTCATGCTCATCCAACATGAATTCTTACAAAGTTCTTGCAGACATCACATTTTGGATGGAAAAGCTCCTTATAGCAGGATCGATGGTATGGGTTACCTTCATGAACTGCAAACTTCCCAAATGAATGGATAATGTCAGTTATCTCATTTACTTAAAGCATGTTATGTTGAAATATGCTAGGTCTCTTTACCTCATATTCTGATATTGGCCTATCACAAGCAAAACACCTGAAGCACTGGGGGTGCCAAACAGAATCCATGCAACTAAGAAACCGTCCTTGACCGATTGGAGTTTTACATCCAGCACAAACCCTACACCGTCAATGTGGTACATGAGAATCAGAGAACCCTAAGGGTTCCACCGCATGCACTAGAACAGGGTGAGAACCCAAGTAGAACAGACATGAAGAAGATACCAGTTAAAACTATGAATGCGTTTATAATTTTCATACCCATACCCTACCCAATCAAGATGATTATAAGATAGTACATATATTCAGTGCTAATAATTTGGGTTCACAATTCCACAACGTAATTTTTGAATTTCAGGTCTACTAGCAGGTCTTCCAGTAGGACATTTTTCCGGTCGAGAATTTCGAATTTTGTTGGGAATTTAGAAAAAACAATCGATCATATTCAGCAAGAAATTGTTCAAAATTCTAGATTGCTAACTCAAAATTTCCAAATTTCAGCCCCTCGCGCCCACTGAAAATGTTTTTGCGTACCAAAATTGTGAACCCTGCTCATCACCCCAACCAAATGTTGGCTCTCACACAATGATCTTCTACATATGCAAAAAAAGACATATCGGAAACACTGATAAGCTTTCAGCCACATCACTTTTTCAAGGATGTGAAAATATATATACCGATGCGCTTGCTCGAGTGTTCTTCTGTATGAGGGACTACGGGCCTGTTTGGCACAACTCCAGCTCCAGCTCCAGGAGGGGTGGAGCTGGAGCTCAGCCAAACAGTTTCAGCTCCACTAAAACTGGGAGTGGAGTTGGGTGGAGCTCTCTCACAAAATGTACTAGAGTTGTGGAGCTGGGTTTAGGCAGCTCCACAACTCCACTCCAGACTCAACTCCTGGAGTTAAATTTAGGAGTTGGAGCTGTACCAAACAGGCCCTACATATTGATATTTTATTTTATTGTGCATCTTGGTAGAGAGTGGGCTCAGGTGCCAGGGACAAATTACTCAAGGGAAGTAATGTGGTACTGGAAAAGAACAAAAGATAAGGAATGCTACATTTGGAGTAGTGGTACAGCTAAATAGAGAAGCAGACATAGCAATCTTCTGATGCTACGAGAGTTCGGGCCTTGTTTAATCAATCCTGGCAGCCAATATCTAGAAAAGCACTTGCTGCTGTTTTAATATAATGTAGGATTTGTTCACAGCCCACAGACTTGCTACCTACAGACCTCATCTCATGCAGTGAAACCGTCAATCTTACTGTATACTTCCTCTCCCAAGTTAATATACTGGATCAAACATTCAAACCCGCAAATAATTTTGCCATCTTGTTCTTTTTTTTCTTTTGAGCGATTACCAGAATATAGCAACAGATCGAAGTTTAACACATATGACACTGACTGACTGTACAGTTAGCTCCACAATAAAAAAAATACCACATGTTCTGTACCAAACTTTCTTTTACTACCTCTCATAATCTCATTAACGTGGCATGCAATGCACATTTAACTGACTAGTGTCTGTTAAAAAAAAAAAAAAAAGAGGCCTTCTTCTGAATTGGCATATAAAGGTTTATTAAATTGGAAGGAGAGGCCAGCATGATAATGTGCTATTATAACAAATACCTTAATCCAGTTGAAGGGAATATATATGGGGGCATGAAAGTTGCTGGAGTACTCTCTGAGTGAACATCTTTTACTGGAACATTCTGACGAGGAGGTTCATCATTCAGACTCTCTTGTAGAGCCCGTGCAAGTTGTTCATCTTCATGTAAACGATGATCAATATCTACCTCATCTGTAAAAACAAAAGAAAATGCATTAATATTGAATGCTTTTGCTCAACAGTAGTACAGAACATATATGGAGGTCCTCATTTATTCAAGTCAACCTAGAAATGCTAGTCCTAAAGTGAATATCATGTTGCAGGAAAACCAAATCCAATAATCTCTAAACTAAAGATGACCAAAACAGGTTAAGATGGGACAATGATACAGACCAACAGCCTTCCCCTTCCGCTGATCTTCTTCTGATAAAGATAATGCAATAGCACGATCTATGTCTTCATGGTCACTGTCATGCTCCTATAGTGATTAGAACCAAGTTAGCTATAGTGAAGTACATAAAGTAACATCCAGTCCATCCATTTTTTTTTATCAGGAAGAAGCTTTTTTGGTCCTGAATAATCAAGCACAGAATTTTATTCATTTACTATCTATAGCTTACAATATGAAGCTTCTAACTGTCATCTTAAATACACATGACTGAACAAAAGAAAGGTGAGAAATTCAGAACTGAAAATGGCAATACTCAGTGAGAAAATTTTTTATATGCAATTGGCAGGAGCGAAATTTTCTTCTGTGTCTCACAGTATGTATGACTTAAGATGGCTAGTGTGGGAAGATGAAAAGACAGGCAGAATTGGGCCGTACATAGGCTTTAGTGTGCCATGCTGAGTGGCCTTCATGGGTGTTTCCATTGTAGTGCCCTCTTGATACTCTATTTACTGAACCTTTAAAAATTTTGCTCAGCCAACCCATGTTTTCAAGTATTGGCAGACGAAAATCCTTGTACCTGCACTGCATAACAAATTTATTAAGAATCAAACTAAAAGAAACGCATACATATGAGGTTTTATTTGCATTCAAAGCCAATTGTGAGAGGAAGTCAGAAGGACAATATAAGGTTATAGGCCTAGATTCTAGGGAAAATATGTAGTGCAAACCACATATGTAGTGGAAACCTGGAAACTACCGTTGGATCCAAAAATGGATGGCTTCCACTACACATTTTCCCCACATTCAATTACACATATTTCAGTAGTAGAAACTGATGTTCTACAAAACTAATAGTGTACCACCAACATAATCAAATATATGTGATTCCAGCATCTAATCTTATTTAATAACCGCATTACTATACCTTTCCAAGCCTAGAGCCACTAGTTCCCTTCTGGATTCTTACACTATAGGTTTGTAGAGGAAACGATCTGTAAATACATATTGAAATTGTGCAATAACATGTATATAGTACTCATAAATAAGAAGACTGCAATAGCATGTATTTGGTAAGAGACAATATGTAGATAAAAATCCCTACAGTGTCTGCCCCATCTGCCCATCACATGTATAATTTACTGGGTGCTTCAAGCATGTGCTCTTTTGTTTTGAAACAGAATATCAACTACATACAGAACAGGATATCAAATATTCATTTATCTGATTAGATATTGGCTTGGTGTGCCTCCAAACTGGTAAAAAGGTAAAATTGTTGGCATGCAAGCACATAGTGTAAGATATAAACCTCTATAAATTGGTGGACATTGGCGGTAAGGAATAAATTATCCATGACAGGATCCAGTTAAAAATAAAATTGCTTTCTTGCCTTGGAAAAGGCCAGGTATGTGAGAAGTCAGAAAAATACAGATGGAAATGAAAATGTAATGTGGAATGCTCTTATATGAACTAAAATGACCAGCAACCAATCACATTACATGTCCAGTCTCTTTGGCATATCTCCCTATGATTGGTATTCCTCCGAGCCAATAAAGGAAAAGGACCAACACAAGCAATACACACGAACCTCTGACAACAGCAAATTCCACAAAATCCAGACCCGGGTCCTGCAAAAAAACAGTTGCTCAGGCTATGTGGTACCCGCTGGTAGCAATTTTACATTTTTGTGATGCCATTACAGTATGATGCGTCAATATTGCTCTTGTTAGTAGTAACAAATTAGCAAAGACAATAGATAAATTGAATGATCAATGTAAACATTTGTTCCATGAGGAGGCCTCGAAAAGCTAGAGAGGATCTTGAAATCATGGTAAAGCACATAAAAGAGTCATGAGTCAAACAATCATTGAACACAGATGATGCCAATGAGCAGATACTAACGAAGACAAAACGGACAATAAAGAGTATGAAAAATGGAACTTTTAACAACACAGATGCAAGCAGTATCGAAGGAAAAAAAAAAGGAAAAGCAAATATCACTGGAGGAAAAAAAAATACCTCGAGTTCAGAACCACAGGGACCGCATAGAAACAATCAGATCATTGAAGGCATCAGGGCAACCCCACCTGGCCACCACTTTCAAGCCTGAACTCCTGTACTTTTTAACAGAAACAAAAGTCATTATGCCAGTCCCCACACAGCAACCAGCTGGTACAAAGTACACAATTCACCAATTCACCGCAAAACGCCATCATTATCCCCCCAAGTTCTACAGAAAACAACTAAGGATCACCATAATTTGCCTGAGGATCACCAAAAGACTCACCAAGTAGCCCTGTAATTCGGCTAAAGCCTCCTCCTTGGTTTCTTGCGACAAGAAGCCCGAGGATCCCCCCAAGCAGGCCTCACGCAAGAACCCGACGAACAAGAAGAAGAAGAGGAGGAGGAGGAGGAGGAGGAGAGAGAAACAGAACGAAAGGAAAGCGTGACATGGACGCGAACGGGGGAGCGCGGGGGGAGGGAGGACCGGCAGTAGGCCAAGTCAAGAAGAAAAGAGAAGGAAAAAGGAAAAACTGGGGTTGAAGGTGACATCTCTCTCTCTCTCCCACGCCACACACCACACTCCCCCTCGCCCACCGCCCGGGTCGCTGTCGCGGCGACGTCAACCCCCCGTCCCCTCCCGCGCGTGGCCAGGGGGAAGAGGGAGTAGGGAGGAGGCCCACATGGGGGGAGGGGTGGCGCCCGCTGCGGCGTCTCTCTCACGCATTCCGTCGAACACCTCGTGGGCGGATGCAGCAGAGAGAGGGAGAGAGCAGCGGTGGTTGGGCGCTCTCGATTTTAATACCTTCCCGCGGCTGTTGTGAATAGTGATGTGGTTTTTTGGAGCGACGGTGAGAGGTCGCTCTCTTTCTTCCCTTTTTCTTCTTCATCGAGGCCTTCTCGGTGATTTTACAGAAAGGGGCTCACAGTCCTGGAAATTTGAGAATTTTTTAAATGGCTAAAGAAATCTATTTAGGCCCTCTTTGGCAATGGGTTATAACTTATAAGGGATGGGATTGGAAAATGTGAATGAGTGGATTATTATATATGAGCTAAAAGTTAAAATGTTACCTCGCGATCAGTCGCGCACACGATCACTTTTCGACTGTGTGGCGAGAAGCAGCTAGGTTGGGATTAGGATTAGAGTTTTATGGGTGAGATTTGAGGAGGAAGGAAGTGGGGATCAAGCTTAAGAGGGATTACCTAGGAGGCAGCAGACCGACGGTGGGTGACGAACAAGGGTGGGCGGCCGCGAGCCACTGGGTTGGTAGCGGGCAGTAGACTAGAGTTTGTGGCGGGGGCAAAAGTGAGACGGAGAAGGATGGTAGGGCGGCGGAGGAGGTGGGAGAGTGGAGCTGACCTAGATCTAGAGTTTGCTGGAGGGAAAATGAAGGGGCAAGGAAGGTCGTCGCCGCGTTGCCTTGATCAACCTCCTTGTTGTATCGTCGTAAGCTCGCCTTCCTTTTGTGGCGGAGAAGAAGAGGATAGGAAAAGAGAAAGAGAGAGCATATGAGTTAGGCCAGTGACATAGGCTAGGGTGGGCTGTTTTTTGTCGTTTCCTAATCACGTATCTTGATGTGCACGATCACTCATGTATTAGGGGAAGCCCAATAAAAATAATGGATGGATATTATTGAACCTTACCCTTTAGTTCATAATCTCATTTGCAAAACAAGCCATCAATGGATGTTTGTAACTAAGCCAACTCACTTGCTACCTAGCATCGGCAAAGACAAGGAGAGGCGACCATGAGCTTGGCCTGTCCCATGGTTTGAAATTTTTTGTTGTATTTACTAGAACAAAGAAAATTCTTAAAACAATATCAATACTATCGGCGCCTAACATTTTTTTTAATGTTCCTGGCTCTACCGATACTATCTAGTCTTCCCTTTTGAAATAGATAGTGTTAGCTAAACACCACCGGCGCTCGAGCCTGGTTGCACTTGGCAGCTGCTAGGCTCATCGATGATTAGCAAAGAGTTGGAAACGCCACATCACCGATTTGGATTATGTTGGCAGTTTGTTGTTGTGGGTTGGCCAAGCTTTAATAAATTACTACACAACTATTATTTGATGTGATTTATTTTATCATTACCAATAATCTAAGCATGACTTGTACTATTACATAATTGCACACATTTTTGAATAAAATGAATAATCAAACTATGTCTAAAAGTTAATAATGTCAAATATTACAAGCTGAAAGGATTAGTATACTTATAACCAGACTTAAAAATCTATTAATCAAACAACTTACAAACTTTTATCAGCTGGATTTAAAATGGCTCTTACCAGATGCCAGCAGGTTCTCCTCATGGCAGGGAAACAATTGCAAAAAGGTTTATCTGTACAAACTTTGAATTTGGATTCTGCAAGACTGGAACTGACGAACAGCTACGACGATGCAAATATGTTACAAGTTGTAAGGTGCTATTTGCGAAAGTAGATTTGAAGGCGTCAAATGGACGGGAGATGCAATGCCTAATTAATTAGCTTAATCACAAGTGCTCACATACACAACGCATTTCGTTAGTTAGCTATGGGCCTATGGTTCACATTTTCACCCACAATATTCAATTAAAACTATCATTTTCAATATATGATGATGATGACTAGAATTATCATGAAGTGCTCCATATGGACATAATCCTAGCCAAATCACCATGTGTTCTATTCTCTTGGGCTCTTGGCATCTGACAATTTTCTACTATGTTTTCTCTTCATCTCCATCAATAAGTATCACCTCATCAAGTTTTACCAAAAAAAAAAGATCAATTCATCTCAAGAAAAGAAGTACAGAAAAACAGTGAATGAAAGATAAGGCCAGAGGCCAGACAAAAGATGTATAACCTCTTTCTAGTAGTAGACAAGCTGCCAAAATTGAAGGATCACGCACCCTAGCTTGAGAAGATGCATCCTAACCGACGCAACTGTGACAAGCACTTGCTGAAAGGAACACCAAGACTGTCTATAGTAGGGATGATTCCATTTTTTGAGTGTTAAACCATTATTAACCATACTGTCCTTGAACCAATCAGCAAAGGAAACACTGATTTTAGCAAGAATATGTATTAACATCATGCAAGAATTAAGGCATGGTGTTTCTGAAACATTTATGCTTCTCTTTTTTCAGATACAATTTCCCTCTGTACCATCCTAGAAGTGAACTCTGGATCTGCATTATTTTGCTCCACAAGTCAACCCCATTCTCCACTCTCCAAATACTACTTCACTATACTCCATCACAACTGTAACTTGAAACACACTTCAGTAACCTCCATACGTTATGGAGACTCTCTATGCTGCATATTTACAGCACAATTATGCATTGCAACTTGCAGAAGTCTTCTACATCAGACGTACGGAAGGAGGAAAGAACAGTATCAGAAACATGCATGTCGACAGGTTTTACATGAGCTGCATATGTTGGCTATTGCAACTAGGAAAGAAATAGTTCAGTAGTCAGTACTGCTTAAGCTTAACCATGCCTCATGTGGTCAGTTGGTCTTGCTCAGCATAGCAGATAGTCAGATACACCACCATACTTTATTATCATCACCGGGTTATACACAATTGTACAAATTAATCATTTTAAATTATATTTCTCCTTTTTTTTAATCTGGAAATGTCTATCTATGCACTGTCACCATGTACTTTCAGACAAAGATGGGCTCTCACAGGCTTGTGATCAGAACTCCTAATGCAATCAAGTGCTTCGTATGAGTTTAAGACCGCATCCAAGCCAGAAGTGTGGTCAACCTTGAATAATATCCTATCTGTCCAAGAAGGAACTCTGATCTGTGCAAGTGAAGATCAAACCATTAGATATTGTGGAAAATATCCACAATTGAAAGAGATCTGCAGCTTGCCATTTTAAGATTCACAAATGATATAACTAGAGATACCTTATAACTTGTATCGTAGTTGCTACTCCCTATGTTATACTTGTACGTTGGCTTAAACAACAAGGTCCCTTCGCAGTACCCATTGAATACTTCACCCTTTTCAGCTTCTTGCAGAAGCTGGTCTTTGCCTCTTAGCTTCTGAAATAATTAATACATATAATATATGAGGCGTCCCTGGTGCAAAAATATGTAATTTCAGCATACACTTACACTTTGACGATTCTCTTCAATCAACTTCCTTGCTGGTATTGAGCTTATTCCCTGTAGTCTGTAATTCAAGTCACCAAGCCACACCGTTATGTCTGCAGATTTAGTATACTGTATATCATTCTTGGAGAACAGTGAGTGTGAAATGTGCTGGCATTCTGAGTTCCTCTTCTCCACCTTATTTTCATGAGCTACACTTCAGCAAGATCCTGTTAGTTGTTTGTAATGGCATTTGATTCATGGCAAATTAGCAACAACTTGTCATCAGTATAAGCAGATGGTAGTTTATGGTGTCAAGATATCCTTTGATCATCAAATATCTTTTGATCCAAGTGATTCAGCAAAGGGAATTGTAAAACAGTTCTACTTTAGTTCCATTTGATACTGTGTAGCAATGGCACAGTTGAATGGTTAAGCGATAACAAAAAGGACATCATGCATTGGCACATATTTAGTAGTATAAGTGACACTGAGAAAATGAAATTATCCAAAGCTGAAAAGGAAACCTGCAAGATGGCAGGATACAAAAACCATACGGATCCCACTGAAATTGATGTACATGGCTACAGCTCCTTTCTTTCTTCCAATTATACCTCCACAACCTCCAACTGCATGTTTGTCCACCTTCAACTCTATGCAAAATTAGGAAATTAAACAAATTTTAGTCACTCAAAGAAAAAGATACTTTTACATGAACAGCATCTGGCCATATGTATGTATGTACAGGTTCAAGTGCTGAACAAATATGGAATCACCTCTGATGTATTTCTCTGAACTCTTTGCTCCAAAAAGAAACATCTGAAGAGACTGCATGGTTTTCTGGCATAATAGACTAAAATTTGACAACCATTAAACTATATTAAAATACAATGAAAGCCTTCCAAGTATTCAATTGAGGAGTTGAAACGGAAAGGTCCTCACATGTGTGTCTCAGCCATGGTTTCTTGCAGAACCTGTGCAACATCACATTTTGGTACCTCTTGCAACCCGAAAACTAGCAAATCAAACTTCCTGTTGGAGCTCACTAACTTTGTTACATCCTCCACAGACATCTTCACAAACAATGAATATCAGATCAAAGAAAATGGCGCAGTCATCATCTAGAAGAATGAAATGAAGTAAATTATATGCACCTTGCCGTTCATGTTCCAGGTGATAATGCAGACGCAAAGAACTGAACTGGTGGTGAATTCACAGGCTTTCTGAATCCTAATTGTCTTTATGCCTTCGTGAGTTTCATCCTCATCAATTGGAACCATACCCTTACAGTGAAGATCACTTAATCCCCTGAGAAACACAGAGATAAACAGAAGTAAGCATATCAAAAGATGCGAGGCAATAGTATGACAGGAAACCTTTAGCGAGATCAGATGTATACCATTTTGGAGTAAAGCTGGCGCAGTTTCCCATATCTCAACTTGTTACTGAACCCTCCCCTTATGTGAAGATTGCGAAAGGAGCCCTTTCTTTACTGTTATCTTCAGAAAATTCAAAGTTCTCTAAGAAACAAGAACTTCTTTCAGCAACCCAGAGCAGGCTGAAGAGAAGTGATCAAGTTCTAATATAGATGCTTCTGGTCTCCATGTTGCTTTCAGAAACTACTTGGATGCCCCAATATTCCTGTGAAACTTTCAACATGCTCCGAAAGTAACAAGAGGAGTGCCAAATAAGCAACCATATGAGCTATGTGGATTACATAGTTAGGTACTGGGTATCCTTGATGTGACAGCGCAATCTCATTTTTCATCACATCATTACAAGGCTATAACTTCAGTCCAAAAATTAGGGGAACTGCGAAAGAGACTAGATATATGAATAGGACCACCAGTGTGCATGATGATAAGGTCATTTCCTACAGCAAGTAATGTTGTTGACCATGTGCTGTAATGGAGAAGCACCTTTGGGGAATGCACGGGTCTCAATTTCTTCCTGAAGTTTCACATTTGAACCAAAGGCCTTGTTTAGATTCAAACTTCCAACTTTTCCGTCACATCAAATGTTTGGACACATGCATGGAGCATTAAATGTGGACGAAAAAAAAAACCGATTGCACAGTTTGCATGTAAATCACGAGACAAATTTTTTTAGCCTCATTTGACAAGGTGGTGCTACAGTAAACATTTGCTAATGACGGATTAATTAGGCTTAATAGATTCGTCTCGCAGTTTACAGGCGGAATCTGTAATTTGTTTTGTTATTAGTCTACGTTTAATACTTCAAATGTGTGTCCGTATACTTCAAAAAAAATTTGGCACACGAACTAAACACAGCCCAAATTAGAATGCCGATCCTCCCCCATCATTTCAATATAAATTTCTACCAAATACCAAAGTACCACCTTGTTGCCACATTTGACACAGGTCCTGATAAAACTCCTCCAACAGAGTCTGGAAGGCCTACAGAAATCGCGATAGCTATCAAATACCTTGAGAAATTTCCAGAATAGTGACAGTGACATAGCTTAGTGCTCCCATGATGTGAGGACCAGAATCTTCTTGTCATTGTTTTGATGGAGTTCCCAATCAAATGGCTTGCTTCTGATTTAGGCATGTGCAATTGTTTAATGGCTGTCTGCTTGCAGACTAGCAGGAGAAGCAAATCGGTATTTGCACGCACCTGCTGGTTGGCGAAAAAATTTCAAAGCACCGAAAGGAGATGATCTGTCTTGAGGCATATTACTGCATTATATGCCTGTGCCAGAATCAATCCCCGGTGCTTTGCTTCTGCTCACAGGAGAAGAGGTCTTATGCTCTTATCACTGCATCAAGGCATACATAGCACAAGAAACAGCAGAAAGGTTCAGCATCAATCAGTACTGATCCCAGAAGGCATGCACAAAGATTGATCCTACTGTTCTTGTTCAGTCAAATGCTTTTAGATCCCTCTGTTTTACCATTACAGCATTATTACTGGCATGACATCACAAGTGTATCAATCAATAATACTAGTACAGTACCATGTGATGTGATTTCAATGTGTTAAAATAATAAATCTGCCTCATCGCTAAAGATGGATTATTTTGATCTAACCGATTTAGGCCGTTGCGGCGGCAACCCATAGCTAAGAACGGTTGCAGGCGATATTAGAGTTGGCAAGAACTTAGTATTACCCAGCAGAAAGGTTGCTCCGTTAGCACCGAGTCCACCGACCCCGCACGCCTCTGCTGCTGCTACTCCGCGTTCTTCTCGCGGAAGATTAGGGGGCCGAGGCGGCTTGTGAGTAGTTGCGAGTGCGCGGCGGCCGCTGCCACCTCCAGGCTCCAGCTAGCCCACCTCTGCCCCTCAGGCTCAGGGGAGGGCCGCTCCAGTTGTGGCGCGCCGCCACGCATCGCGCCTCAGCTGCCGACGAAGTTTGTGTTTCAGTTCATAATAATATGAGGGGTTTTCTCGAATATTTAGCCGTTGTACAGCACAGAGTTGGAGGTTTTTCCCTTGTTTGCCATTAAGAAAGGGCAGATGGTGAGATGGTGTGCCATTAAAAAAAAGTTGAGCCTCTCTCTCTACTATCATCAAATTTTATCACGCCCTCCACATTATTTCGTCCATTTTTAGTCGTAACGGTGGGTAACGGCGCAGCCAAATAACTTAGTTGCCCTTAGGCTTGAGAGGACATTTAATGAAGTTTGTTTCCTTGTGTGCCATTCGGAGGGCAACCATTCGGGGGCGGCCCAGTGCAGCGGCGAGGCTAGGGGCGGCGGCGCAGCCAGCGACCGGGTCGAGGCGATGGCGGCGCGGTGCCCCGGCTGGGTGGCGGCCAGGCGCCGATCGGCCCTGCGCGGCTGCGGCATGAAGGTGGCCCTGCGGCATCGAGGAGGATAGGGGAAGGCCGGCACGGCGGCGACGGAAGCCGTCGGGGTGCACGAGCCAAAGCAGCGCCGGGCAAAGGAGGAGGTCGAACGCCGGTTGGAGGGGTGGCCAGCAGCGCTGTCCGCTTGGCTCGGCAGAGACGGCGGAGACGGCGGCAACGAGGGAAGGGGAGGCCAGCATGGCGGTGCAGGCGTCCAGCGGCTCGGCCACGCTCAGCTAGGCGCTGGCCAGGAGTGAGGCAGACGCGGATGTTGCGGAGAGAGGGGAATCGAGGGAGAAGAGAGAGTAGTGTGGAGGGCTCGATAAAGTTCAACGATGATAGAGAAGGAGGCTTGAACTTTTTAGTGGCACGGAGGTAGACACCATCTTTCTTAATAGCACACAGGGAAAAACCCGATGCTTAAATTTTGTTTGCATATGCTCACATGCTCGAGTTTTTCCTCACCGACCAATAAAAAGAAATGACGAATTGATGCGTAAATAATTAGTGATCTCTCAGTTTCATATTATAAATCATTTGACTTTTTTTCTACTCGAATTTTTTTTAAGTTTGACCAGATTTATAGAAAAATATAGTGGTTTTTTAACACAAAATAAACGTATTGTTAAAATATATTCAATGATAGATTTAATAAAAACAATTTGATACTTTATATATGTTACGAAAGTTTTCTATAAACGTGGTCAAACATAACCAAGTTTGACTTCGAAAAAAATCAAACGACTTATAATATAAAACGGAGGTAATAAAACATTTTTTATATAGAAAACGAGAAAATAAAAGTTGGGAAAGTGTAAAACACCCTTAAGCCGCTACTTAAGCCTCTAATGTTATTGCTCAAAACAAATGTATTGTTCTTCTTCTGTTGGAGCTCTTTGCATTATTATAACAGAACACTTTGCAAGTTTAAATTGTTCACACGGTTAATTATACGATTAGCTTGGAGTGGCATAATGTTGGTACAATTTATCCTGGGCATTTTCGTTTAATATTTTAAGAAGGCCAAAGAGAAACATAGCAGTACGTTAGACTAATGTGCAAAAATTGAATAACAAGGAACAGTTCGTAAAAAATGTGGTGTACAGGAATTGGAAGTAATTGTGGGACATTTACAACATTGAGGTGTCCTCAAGTCTAATTAACTCCAAGCTGAGAATTTCCTCAACAGAGTGCTGTCTGTTCTTGCTTAATATACAATTAGCATTTTTCTCATCATAAACTAATCATTCTCCAAGTTAAAACAGCGTGAAGTACAAGGAACAAATATACAATCAGAAAAGATAGAGAAAAAAAATTGAGAATATACCCATTTTTTTAATAATTTGAGTTTATATATCTTCATAGGAAGAAATGGCACAAATATACGCATCCCACAGATCGAATACGTGGGAGCGCCGCTCGAGCCGTTCCCGCTGAGCAGACGAGCGGAACCGCCATGGTCTCACGGACCAAGAGTGTGGCAGCGTGGTGGCCAGCGAGACCACATAGCACCGAGACGGTCCCACGGCATCGTTACGTGGAACCGATTATGTCTAAAATAGTGTTGGTGCTGCGCCAGCAGACCGTGGCACCGCGCCGGTGTCGTGCGACCAATCCGGGAGACCACATCAATCCCGCGCGATTGCCCCATGGCACCGCCCCTCCCATCAGTTTCGCGCATTTGAGCTACGACGACGGAGTGATGCCATGTCCCAAGACCGTGGGAAACATATATTTCTGTAAAATTTTCAAACGCACGTATATATATGCAAAATCAAGAAAAATAATGTATATTTTAAAATTTAATTCAAAAGGTAATGCGTTAAAAGCTTGTGTAGAAGCCAGGAACGCCTACATCTCGGACGAGATGTTCAAAAATCGGATGCCTCACTAGCACTGCGCGTGCTCCCTCTTAGCGTGCATGCATATATACCCACTTATTTTCTAAACTATAGATAATTTTATCTAATAAATTATTTATCCAATTTACAATACAATTACATTGTTATATTAGTTACAATTAAATCTTGGCAATAAGATATCATATGGTTATATTTTGAATGAAATTTTTGAGTGTTGTTTCACCGCTTATAAAAGAATTGTTTCATCATTTGATCAGATGTGTTTCAAAGATATACAATGCAACATCAATAATCACTCATGAAACATTTAGTCCCAACTAGTAAAGCATTTTAAAAAAGGCATGTCAAACATACAATATATTCACAACAATAATTAATTTTGCTAAAACATTTTGTAGACAGTACGAAACAAAAAAAAGTTTGTGTGCAACATTTATAAATGAATAGTGAAACATTAAAAAAATGCTTATTGAAACATCTAAATAAAAATATACGCAACATTAAAAATTATGTTAAAAAATAATTAGAATATAATAAGTAAGATCCTTGTGATAAAGATTTAATTATAACGAATATAATGATATAATTAGATCATTGATATGTAACATAAAAGAAAACATCATTTAAAGAAAACATCATTTTAAGCATATGCATCATCATACATGAGGCTATGGCTATGAGCATCTATTTAATATACTAGTAGCATGGAGTGGAGGCGTCCGATTTATGTGATTGCGTCGTATGTATGACTATAAGCATTTTGGAATATTTGATTTTGTTAACAAATTTACATTTAGCTTGAAACATCAAACTGTAATTATTGAGACATAAAAAAAATATTTTCTGAAACAAATAAAAAGATAACATGCAACATTGCAAATGCATTAGTGAAACATCAATAAATTGAAACGTTACATATGCAACATTTAAAAAGTTAAAAAAAAATTGTCATAATATAGTCATGTGATATATTGTTATAAAGATTTAGTTGTAACGAAATCCAAAAATATAATTAGTTTAGAATTTGGATAAATAATTTAATAAAAAAATGTTTTAATTTTGAAACAGCATTGCATGCTTATAAACCACCTTGCATGGTAAGCATTTCCGGTAGAAGCCGTGCTGCCAGGGACGATAAAAACAAGCACAAGAAGAGAAGGGAAAAGGTTCATTCATGATCTTGAACTCTTGTTGCTATTTTAACTGTTGGTAACAAAGCCTCGTATCCACGACATGCAAGATGGTTTCAATCAACCGAGGGTCCAGATCAGATTAGAGGACAAACATATTGCCAGCACATGCATTTTACGCTCACCGTAATTTCCAAAACGTTTAGTGAACTTCCCTCAAAACAATTATGAAATTGCTTAGAAAGCTTTTCCGAACCATGTATCTTAACTTGCTTGTTTAACCATGGCTCAGTCTTGTTTTTCTAAACTATCCTCAAGTAAAATAGCAGAAATCACTCCATAGCCAGTTAAAATATAAGCACAATAGGAAACACAATGCCTATTGCAAAGACTGCAAACTTAAAGAACAGATAAGTCGAGGAGTGCTGCCATTGAGTTATCGTACAGAAAGCTAAATGCCTCTCAAGCAAAAATAATAGGATTAAGTTTTATAAGGTCTGCAAAAATCCTATCCAAACATAGCTTTGCAACCATCCATGGAACACTAAGGCGAAGATGATTCGTCCATCGCTGCAGCACCTAACAAGAATCAGAAACAAATCAGTGTGAGGCTCATTTGTAATTAGGTGAAAAAATAGCAACATGCTATCAACCCATTTAGCCACAAAAGTTCCCACAATGGAACCAAAAAATAATGCAGATTTAATATAGGGTAGTTTATTTTAACAGATCATTTATAAAAAAAAACTGGGTCGAATGATGGATTCCAATGCCAGATACAAGAACAAACTCACTGAGCACATCAACGGTTCAACTATTGATTGAGTTGCTAGTGAACAGAGAAACAGTTTCAACAAGGCCCATTAGGTTATGATGACTTGTGACTGAATAATGAACCTCACTGTTTAAAAAGTTCAGCAGGCATATAGTAGGCTTAGTTAGTAGCCGGGTGCAAACTAGACACGCTTGGAAGTTGGAACACGTATTCCAGTTCCAACTTAAAAATACTCTAGTTTCTTCCTACTTAAAAGACTGATATGTTTTTGTATGTAATCTGCTGCCATAGTAGCCAAACAGGAGTAGAAGTACCATTACGAACATATTGCACGGGTTTACACATTGACCAGCTAGAAAAATTAAAATTTAGAACATATTAAATCCATAAAACCACAAGATATAGCCTATCGTTATTCAGCAAAGATAATTGGTGAAATTTGAAAACATACTGAATATATCGATATTAATTCTAAATCAATTGGGGGAAAAACAACACACCAAATAGAACAGGAACACTGCAAAACCAGGAGTGCATTACATTAACATTACAAATGTGACCCAAAGCTGATGCCGATACATAAAGACTACTATAATTATCAATCAAACTGCACACTAATTGATCATAAACATAAGAATCCGTGGCACAATAAGAATGTAAATCAACTAAAGGTAAAAAATACTAATAAGCATGCACATATCTCAATATTCAATTAATGCATATTTTTACCAATAGTTAAGTCTTATTACATATATAGATTAAACAACTAGTGATATAAAAGTGGAACAATTAGATCCATTCGAAAATCGAAAGTAATTTTGTGAAATCACGGTTCTGTAGTATTAGAAATGCATTTCCGTAAGTCTATCGTCAAAGTTCAACTTTGAGGACCATACCAAGAGAAATTCCTATAGAAACAGAAGCGCTAACATTATCAAAAGATAGCTTAATCCTTTCAGTCAAGTCGGTTTGCAAGGATTGTTAATGACTTGTCACATAATATGTTTTGGGTGGGATTTTTTTAGGAAAACAAAATTTAAAGTTATTCTTCTGTTACATCATATATGAACTTTGTTTTGACAAGAAATTTGAAAACAGCTTTTGACCAATACAGTGTTTGGCTGAGACATGAGTCTAGTTTGCGCGATAATATGAACAAATGCATATGAACTCTGAAGTTGTCAATAGATGGAAGATGCTACTGATTTACAGCACACTGGTAGGCCATCCGTTTTCGAGTGCATCAAATCCAGCAAGGGTTATGTGCAGAAAAAATAATAAATTATCCAATTGAAAAAAGAATTGGCATCTAAAGATGGCAGATAGTACCATGAAGAAAGAAAACGAATCACCAACGATAGCCCAATGACTCACAGAACCCAAATATTCTTTAAAAAACCAAATCTAAACAGGAATTATTATCTAAACAAGGTGCACAAATTTAATACTACAAGAATATAGATCAGCATACTGGATCCTATTATTTCCAATGCAATACCAATCCATTTAACTCTACCAGATCCTCTCCACAGCATTCAACAATTAGAAAGCTTCTTCAAAACAGTGGTGTTTAAAGCAAGTAAGCAACCCAGCATTACAGTACCATAACCCTGAATACCCACCATACAAGATTTATACGAGGTGCATCAACCATAGTTAAAAATCGTTTGTGCAATAAATAAGCATGAACCTAACCGTGCAAAACTCATTCGAAATAGATCATTAGGGCAAGGGTAAATATCTAATAGCATAAGCATGCACAGGATCTCCGCACGGTTTCTCCAACGGGATCGCGAGTTCCGTCCCGAATCAAAGAGGAGTTTCACCCCCAACTAAACCAATCCCGAATTAAACCAATCAAAGAGGAGGAGAGGAGGGAGAAGCGGGTGTCTCACCTAGCGGGGGACGGGGGATGGTTACGGCCTAGAGCTCCAGGGTGAGCTCGAGGCGGTCCGCGTCGCGGTTGAGGAAGTGGAGGATGTAGGGGGCGGCGCGGATGGCGGCAACGCAGGAGGCCATGACGATGAGGTGGGAGCGCAGCTGCTTGTACGCCACCTCCTTGCTCGGCCGCCGCGGGATCGCGCCGAGGAACATCCTGACTCCGCTGCGAGGCGAGGCGAGGCGGCGAGGGTTTCGCGGCGGCGGCGGCGGCGGCTAAAACCCTAGACGGCGACGAGACGAATCTCTCTTGGGGACGGGACGACAGGTGGGGGTGAGGAGGCTTGGCTGGGTCGGTTTTTACATCCGAGTCCCTGAAGAAATACGAATTGAAATACGTGATGTGATGGGCCAACGTTGCTTGATGGGCCCGATATGTGGGGCGCTTTCGGAAAGCCCAACTAGGCCTAGTCAGTTAGCTAGGCCCAGTCCCATCAATTTAAGTTGGGCAAAGGCCCCGCTTCTGCATCTTTCATAGCCTTTGCCCTAGGAGTTTGTAAGAAATTACAAGCCTATGCCATGTATAAATTGAGAATACAACTACTACTTTGTCATCTTATATTATAGTAATATAGAAGTAGGGACGAAAACTGATCGGATGTTGTTAGTTTGCTTCAATTGTAAATTCGTAAATTTGATTGGATAAAGATTTGGTATATGTTTTCTTTAAAATTTGGCATATGTTAATAATTAGTACGGAATTTGGATGAAAATATGATTTTTTTTCCCTTGCAAAAAAATGATGTTATATGGATAAGTTGGTCGTGTGCTATTTAGATAAGGATTACTTATACAACTTTCAACATAAAAATCTACCAAATCTTTCAAATGTAACTTTAATGTAATTCTAGTATAATTACAATGCAACTCTAGTGTGGTTACAATGCGACGTATATATAACATATAAGATAGATATGAAACACATGTAGCTAGGTTAGCTAGTTGCACTCCTCTTTCGCCCATGAGATCAGCTGCTCCAATCCCGCCTCGCTCATAGCGTAGATTTTTTTCCCTCCCCGTATGAATCTCAAAGTACATTCGAACGATCTAAAAATGCAAAAGTTTTAGGGGGAAAATCTTCAACAGTATAAAATAAAACTATTGGATAATTGGCCAACTTATCAAGATGTCAAGCCCCATCTTGTTAGCACATTGTCTTGTTCCTTGGGCCTGCTACATGTGGTGTTTGTAGCTTGATGGGTGGGCTGCACCAAGTGTTGTTTGTTTCTGACAAGACTTACTATGTTGTTGCTTGTTGGCTGGCTGCAACAGTGGGAAGCTCAATTTGCTGTTGGCTTCTGCTAGTATTGCTTGCATTGTTTGCTACTGGTTGTTGTTTGTTGATTTTTTTTCCTTGGATGTCTCATATAAGTGTGCGTTACCAATATAGCAAAAAGAAAAGGTGATATAAGATACGGTACGACAATCAACAATCCAAATCCTATTCGCTTCATTCATCTACCTCTCTCACGTCTCCATTCTCACACCACACTAGATCACACCTTAATTCTCTCCGTAGTTTGTTTCCTTTCAGGTGAGGCTTGCATTTGTCGTCCTCGAGAGCTGCCTCACTTGATCGTTGTTGTCCTTTATTATTGCACCTCCTTGTTGGTCTACAATATCACCATTCTCGAATGCATCATGTGGTGGCCTAGTTCTTGATTGTTGTCATCATCCATCAAATCTCTAGATTCATCTTATTTCTATTTACTTACCTTTTCTCATCATGTTTATGCTATTTTTTCCGGTTTATGTTCATATCTCCAAACCTCCATGTTCTTCCTATTTACTTACATTTTTCTCATCGTGGTTGTCAATTTTCCTAACTTTTCTCACCATGTTTGTGCTATTTCTTTTTTCAGTTTACGTTCACATCCCCAAATGTATTTGTGTCATCTGTAGTTGTTCCTCTTTTTTTCTTAAAAAAAAGTTTACATTGATATCTCAAAATCTACGTGTGTTAATTACCATTCGTGCACTTTGTTTTCATATCTCCAAATTTATGTGTCACCGACAATTGTTTTTTTTTGGAAAAACCTCAAAAGAGGATAGGGAGAGCCTGTTTTCAATTAAGAATAAGAGACTTGGCCCAGTTTTTTAAGGGAAACCGGACCCAAAAAACTCACTTAAGCACGGTTTGAAGGGGGAAACCGAGCAAAACCCACACGGAGAAAAAACTAAAAACTTGCGACGGTACAACTGGAGGATAAAACAAAGGTCATCGTTGCCAAGCTACCAAGAGCAGCTCCGACTTCCTATAAACAAACCAAGCTCTCAAGAGCAGCTCCGACTTCCTATAAACAGACCACAAACAACATAGGATAGGGTCTTTAAGATGAAGTTGGACCCGTTTGGTTGGCTGCAAATTATTGAGAGGTCTGATCATTTGAAGTGTTCGTATACTGAAAAGTTATCCAGAAACGTTGCACAACGTCGAACAATTAGACTAATTAATCAGCACAAAATAATCCATCATTTCCTCTGTATCAATATAGGATATTTCCTATACTACTTAGCTAGTAATTAATCCAAAAATCCACCATGCCAAACCACAAACATGTTTGGACAATAGAATTTTTCCCAAAACCACCTGCTTCCCTTCACCCATCGACCGTTTACAACCTTGCTTCGTATAGTAATAATGAACTCGACACGTTGTGGCTTAGTGGCGTGTCGCCGGCGGTGCTCCGCCGGTCACGCTGGTCGCCGGCGGGAACTCCTTGGCCATGGCCGGGCCGTCCGGATGGTACGCGGCGATGTTCATGGGCTCGACGAGCAGCGGCAGCAGCTCGTCCTGGACGCACCGGTACATCCCGGCGCACAGCCCCTCGACGACGCGGGCGAGGTTGTCGGCGTCGCGCTTCGCCTTCACGACCTCCGCCGCGTCGGCCGGCCGCGCCGCCGCCGCCAGCGTCCTGGACAGCACCTCCACGTGGTGCTCCAGCTGCCCCTGCAAATCCTCGAACCGGTTCTGCGCCGCCGCCTCCTCCCGCTCGCGCCGCGTCGCCGCGCCGCCGCCGAACATGTAGTAGGCGAGCACGTACGACCGCGGGAGCACCTGCCGGCACCGCAGCAGCCGCCGGTGCGCCGCCGACGGCCACCGGGCGTCCCTGGTGCCCGACCACGGCAGCGTGGCGTCCGCCTCCAGCCGCCGCGCCAGAGCGTCGATGGCCGGACCCAGCTTCCCCTGCTCCTCCTTGTACGACTCGGTGTGGATCTCGAACCGCTCGTAGTAGTGCATGAACCGCAGCCGCTGCCGCCCACCGGCGGTCATCTCCACCTTCACGCCGCCGCCGCCGCCCTCCTCCTTGTAGCGGTTGCAGATGTGCATGTACAACGTCCCCGTCGCCGCGCCGCACGCGTAGCTGCATCCATCCAACAATGGCGTGACATCAATCTCATGGAGAATCGATAGATGTCGTGTCGAGCTCACCAGAGATGCTGGCCGCAGGTGCAAGTGACATGGTTGCAGCCGCCGTTCTTCTCGATGGGCTTGGAGCACTTGGGGCAGCTCTTGGTGTTGGCGACGATCCACTTGAGGTTGTCGACCTCGCCGCCGCCGCGCATGGCGCCCCACTTGTCCCACATGGGGCACGGGCACGGCGAGTGCGCGCCGCCGCCGCAGCGGAAGCAGAAGACGGCGCCGCAGGGGCACGACACCTCGGCGTACCGCTCCTCGCCGCCGCCCCCGCCGTCCACCCGGATGGCGCGCCCGCAGTGCGGCGCGCTGGGGCACCACCGCACCGCGTCGCTGGCCTCCACGCACGCCTCCAGGAGGCGGCGGTCCAGCCGCGCCGCCGCGCCGGGGTGCTTCCCGTGCAGCAGCAGCCGCACCACCGCCTCGTCGCAGATCGCCGTGCACTTCACCTCCATGCACCTCATCTGCTTGCTGCCGTCGCTCACCGCCGCAGCGAAGTACTCCGTCCAACCTGATCGAACAAAATTGCAAAAAAAAAAAGATCATCAAATCTTTCTCATTTACTACCAACAAATACTCCCCCATTTCAAAAATATATATCCGAAAAATCAAATAAGATAGATGGTAAAACATTATGCGAAAAATGAAATGCTTCGTTCAAAAATATATATACGACGGATTTAATTTTTCACATAATATTTGACTATCTATCTTATTTAAAAATTATATAAATATCATTTATTTTGTTCTGACTTCTTTTGTCATCGATTAGTTTTATATGTTTATACTAAATTATTGAATAAAACAAATGATCAAACGTTGTGCGGAAAATTCTAACGTGTCATACATTTTTAAAATAACATAGTACTCTCTCCGTTTCACAATGTAGGTCATTCTAGCATTTTCCATATTAATATTGATGTTAATGAATCTAGATAGATATATATATATCTATCTAGATTCATTAACATCAATATTAATATGGAAAATGCTAGAATGACTTACATTGTGAAACGGAGGAAGCATCATTCAAGAGATGAACATTGGGCACAACTCACAGTCATTGCAGAAGCAGTGGCCACAATCCATGGCGGAGACAGAGCCGAGTGGGTACTCCTCAAAGCAGACGTTGCAGGTGACAGCCACGCTTCCCGGGGGGTTCGTCTTCGCCATGGCCATGCTGCTGCCGCTGCTGCTGCTCTTCTCCGGCAGCACAACGACGCCGGCGTCCCTGAGCAAGGCGTCCCGGCCCATCATGTCGAGGCGGTCGTAGATGCGCTCCATCTTCCACCGGTGGTGGGCGAGGAGGGCGCGCGCGTTGTGCCGCTCAACGTTCACCAGGTTCATCACCATGGACAGGTCTTGCTCCTGTAGATGTATTGATATAGCAGCAAAATTTAAGAACAGTGTGTTGAGATTTTGGACAGAATCTGAAACTATGAATATATTGAAATGACTGATTATTGCTCAACCTCATCATTACCTGCGCAGCTGCAAGGGATTCTTTTGTAATGGCCTGCAAAAACAGGGTACTTGATTAGTGCAGCCTTCTTCTCGAGGTGAATATTTTCTTTAATAAAAAGAAAAGATAATACTTCATGCCCAAATAGTACTTATTATTAAATTTTGACCATTAACAACTTTTAAATGATTAGACTACAGTGGACGAAAGCTTAAAGCTTATGTTTGTGGTACAACACACTTTGATAATACGACATTTTTTAAGCATTTATATTTATTTTTGAAGAATACAAGTAATCAGAGTTTAAATATGATATATCCAGTAACAATTATTTTGGAACAGGATAAAATATAGCTAAAACTAACTCTCATAAGTAACAATTATTGAAACAATGCAATATTCTTGTATAAACGGACCATTTACTTTCACAAAAGACCATGGCTTGCAGTGGAAGATGCGAATTTGATTCAATCAACTATTTTGTTTAGAACATTTTTCTTTCAGAAGTGAATCAACTATTTTGTTTAGAACATTTTTCTTTCAGAAGTGTATCAAATAATTCTTACTACTGAAATCAAAGATTGAAAGAGACCCAGCAAAGGGCTGCAAATTCTCTCAACCAAATCGATACAATCAACTGCTGTTATCAATAATTAATATATGATGAAAATTAACTTGGTCACATTGGTTGGAATTCCAAAGGAATTAACTAAACCCAGTAGGCGATCCCTCCCCCAATATCGGAACTCGATCGATCATAGTGCCAAGTTCAATCACAAGAACTGCAGGGTTTTAATTCCCACCCGAGAGAGAACGGGAGATATATAGGCTAGGGTATTATAGATAGAACTCACCCAGCAAATCGCGCGGTGCTCCACCTCCTCCTCCGGCGGCGGCAGCGCGGCGCCGTCGAGCAAGCCTACGTCGTCCTCGTCCAGCATTATTATCTCCTCCTCCTCCTCCTCGTCCCCATCGCTGTCGACGGCGTCGTAGTAGTAGCAGCACTCGTCGTCGCTGCCGTCCATGGCGGCCGCGTCGTCGGAGCTCGCGGAGGGTTTTTGGAATTTGATGCGACGAGGCGGCCGATCGATGGAGCTTGCTCGGCTCGGTTCGGTTCGGCTCGACCCCACCACATGACCACAGATAAGGTTTAAGATCCGGAGTGACAAAGTTGTATTAGTAGTAGACCTATCCAAACCGCGATTTGTGTTTATAATTTGGCATTGTTATCTCTAAAAACAAGAGGTCGCGGTAGATGTTTCTTTTTTTAGAAAAGGTAAAACTGAAAAAGAGGATAGGGAGCATCTATCTATTTTCATGTAAGAAGAAAAGATTTATCTTAGTTTTGAGACAAAACCGGGTCTAAAAATGTGGCAGCACAACTGCAGCTCATAATACAAGTCATCGTTGCCCAAAAAAGAGCAACAGCCAAAATGATAGCGATAAAGGTGTTTCTAATCTAGCGTTTGATTCTAAATAGGTGTTTCTAACTTAGCCTTTGTTTGTATAAAAAGTAGAGAGATCATCAATAAGATGTGGCCGTAGCGGTAAAATGTTGGAACGGAAGGGAACGGAAAGTGGGTTAGCGAAAATGCTATTGCGCGTTAGCTCCCCTCACGTCCTATGTTTCCTTTTTTCTCACCTCTTTTTTTTTCACTTTTAGGTAAGTCTACCCATCTAAAGTTTATGCACCGAAAATTTTTTTGCACACCTAAAAATTATACATTGAAAAATTGTACATCAGAATTTTATATGCATGATTTGCATTCCAGTTCGAATTCAATTTTTTCATATGAAATATTGCATTGCACCTACAAGTCTATACCTCAAAAATTTATACACCGAAAGTTTGTATGCAAATTTATGGGCCAGATTTTGATTTCAATTCGAATTTAATTTTTACAAAATACTGCTATGTAAAAATTTTCCATGTATATATTTCTATCTATAAATTCAATATTTATATATACAAATATGTAATTATGTATTACTGGAAAAAATAATTGTGCATTTCAACAGGTAAAGCCTATTTTAATCTTATTATTGTTATATGGTTTAGTTAAGATGAAATTCACTGTGAGAGTTCACTTAGATATATCTCTACTATTATAAAAATTGAAGATGTTTTTGTCGGTACTTTTGGTACGTCATCCGTATTTAAATCGGTTTTAATTTTATGTTTCGGTTTTAATATCTTATCAAAATCTTCTCTACTTAAAAAGAACAAGAAATTTCCATAGGCGGTAAAAAAAAGTCCAACTAAAAAGGTGGAAAAAAAGTCCGACTCAACAAGCAATAAAAATAAAAATAGCTTCTGTGACGTCAGTGAAAAAAAATCATCCGACTCTAGAAAAAAAAAGGAAAAAAAATCTCGCCAACAAAAAACCAAAAAATAAAAATCTGTTTGGTTTTTTTCACCGGTATTTTTGTGACTTGTTTTTGCACGCAAATGAATTTTTTTTTGTGCGCATTGGTTTTTTTCGTCTGGTTTTTTGAATCCGTTCACTACGCTTCCCGCATGTCTCCCGAGTTGAATCTCAGCGCCATATTGATTGTACGTTTTCTACTACAATTTGATTGAAAAAAATCTATTCCCACTCCTCTCTCATCATTTCTCCATGATTTTCCCAGCTTTATTTCATCGGATTTAATATAACAGTTGCCGATGATAACGCGCCATATCGATAGTGCGTCTTCTATTCCAATTTGATTAAAAAAATCGATTCCCACTCCTTTCTCGTTATTTTCTCCATGATTTTCCTGGCTTTATTTCGCTGGATTTAACCTAATAGTTGCCGACGATGACGACTATCTTCCCCAATCTTTTTTACCTCGAGTTTGATTTTTGGGAAAACGGAAAGAGAAGATTGAGTGGATCAAAAACCCTCAACCAATTTTGGGTGGATTTGATAGGTCGAAGGAGGCATGCCAAACGGAGGAAGGTAGCGAAATGGGTAGGGCTGAAAACGACTTCACTCGTGGTTGGGTCGAAGGAAGCAAACCAAACGGAGAGAGGTAGCGGACTGGCTTATGGCTGAAAAAGGAAGGAAGGCTTTCGGCCTAATACCAGGAAGGATTTTCATTAACTTTTTTAATTATAATCTAATATAGCGATCCAATATTAGGATTTTCATTAACTTTTTTTAATTATAATGTATAGCGATTTCAATATTTCATTTTATTACTCGGCTCTTAATATATCATTGAAAATTGTCTTTACCTGTTGCAACGCACGAGTATTTTTTCTAGTGTGTGTGTGTCTATATATATATATATATATATATATATATATATATATATATATATATATATATATATATATATATATATATACATATATAGAAAATCTTGAGCTACAGTTAGGAGTCCGATCGTCTCAAGTTAGCATGCGAGTTTTTTAAATAGATTTCTTATGTGATTCCTTATGTATTATCAAAAGTGAACGATCGTAAAAACCGACTCAAATACGGATATGTATTTCTAAAAGCAAACGAAATTAAAAATTGACTCATATACGGATGACGTACCAAAATACCGGCAAAACAAATTCAATTTTTATAATAGTAGAGAAGAAATATAGATTAAAACCAAAATAAAATTAAAACCGACTCAAACACGGATGACGAACCGTGGAAACATTTTCAATTTTTATAACCGACTCAAACACGGATGACGTACCGCGAAAACATCTTCAATTTTATAACCGACTCAAACACAAATAACGGACCGCGAAAATATCTTCACTTTAGTTTTTTTTTCCTTTTTGATTTTTAAAATTTGTTAACCCCCCCCTCTCCCACGGAGTCAGGTTAGAGAAAATAATCCTTTTCTTTGGCAGTCCTTGATCCCAGATCCACATTTGATTTAGAGTATGCAAGTTTAATTAAAGTGGTTTAAAATTTTGCTTCATCTAAAATAGGAAACAAATGATTCAGGTGGGCACACCTCTATGGGCTATAAGAGCAACAAACTTCAGACCTCATTTCAGAAACTTGTATAGAAATCGGGAAAAAGAAATCTATGTGCTCCAAATTAAAAAATCATTATTAGTAAGCATAACATAGTTGGGAACGGGTGTGTTTGGTTGTCGGCCACACTTTACCACAACTAACATTAGGTAAATTATGGCAGCCAAAAAAAAGTGATGGACAAATTGCTAGTCACAAAGTATAGCAAAGTTAGCAAGAAAATTAAGTCTATGACATTTGGGACATGCTACTGAAAAAGTGTGGGACATGCTACTGAAAAAGTGTGGCAAGTCACAACTGTAGTAGTACACCAGACACATACCTAACAAACTGTGACAGCCACAAGTATGATGTGATAAAGTGTGGCTATAAACCAAACACCCTGAAACTTTTCAATTCACGACGCGCCACCACAGGTTGGAAAGTCCTTGGCCTTGATAGGGCCGTCGCGGCGGTAGGCGGCGATGGACATGGGCTCCACGAGCATGGGCAGCAGCTCGTCCTGGATGCACTTGTGCATCTCGCCGCAGTGCTTCTCCACCACGGCGGTGAGCGCCACGGCGTCCTGCTTCGCCCGCCGCAGGGCCGCGTCCCCCGCCGTGGCCGGCGCCGGAGGCGCGTCCGCCGCCAGCAGCCCCGACAGCTTCTCCACGTGCCTCTCCGCCATCTCCTGGTGGTCCTCGAACAGCGCCTGCGCCGTCGCCACCTCCGACTCCGGCGCCGCCGCTTTCAACGTCCGCTCCTCGCCGCCGAACATGTGGTAGGCGAAGGCGTAGGACCGCGAGAGGACGTCGCGGGAGGCGAGCAGCGCGCGGTGCGCGGCGGCGAGCGCCTCGGCGGCGTCGCCGCTGGCCGGCGCCGTGGCCGGGTCGGGGTCCTCGCGCAGCCGCCGAGCCCGCGCCTCGATGGCCGGGCCCAGCTTCTCCGCCTCCGCCCTGCGCGAGTCGCCGTGGGCCTTGTACCGCTCGTAGTAGTGCGCGTACCGGAGCACCTTGCGCCTCGCGCCGTCCACCTTCCTCTTCTCCGCCGCGTCGTCGTAGCGGTTGCAGCTGTGCCCGTCGATGCTGGTCCAGTTGTGCGCCAGCCCGGTGGCCGCGCCGCACAGCCAGCTGCAAACAACATTCATGCATGGTCGTCGCATCAATGGCGATCGAATTGCCAAGGTGAATTAAGAATCTTGGAAGTGGATTTTTGTCCCTCAGAGGGGGCATCATCTCGTTTTGTACATGGCGTTTATAAGGTAATTAAAAAAATTTAAAAAAATTGTCAAGATAGATCAATATATGATACTTTCTCCGTTTAACAATGTAAGACTTTCAGTATTGCCCACATTCAATTAGATATTAATGAATCTAGACATATGTATGTGTTTAGATTCATTAACATCTATATGTATGTGAGCAATGCTAGAAAGTCTTACGTTGTGAAACGGAGAGAGTATATCTTTTTGTAAACATGAGAGTTAAAATTTGACTTATACAATTCGAAATAAAAATAACAAATTTAACTGTGAATTACATGTTCTATTCATAGTTAAATTTGTTATTTTTGTTTCTACTTATATAAGTTGAGTTTGAATTTGCATGTTTGTGAAGTGATATATCACATATTAATCTATCTCACCTAATTTTTTTAAATATTTTGATGAATTTTTAAGTGACATAAAAAATGAGGTGATATCCCCTAAAGGATGAATTGAGTTTTAAATCTTATTGTTTATTACCAGAGACACTGGCCGCACTTGCAGCGGACATGGTTGCAGCCGCCGTTCTTCTCGATGGGCTTGGAGCACTTGGGGCAGCTCTTGGTGTTGGCGAGGATCCAGTCCACGTTCATGGATTCGCCGCGGCACTTGGCCTCCCAGCGCTCCCACATGGCGCACGGGCACGGCGAGTGCGCCGGCGCGGCGCAGCCGAAGCAGAAGCTGGCGCCGCACGGGCACGACACCTCGCAGCACCACCGCCCGCCGCCGCCGTCCACGCGGACGGCGCGCCCGCAGTGCGGCGCGCTGGGGCACCACCGCGCCGCCGCGTTGTCCTCCACGTACGACGCGAGGAGGGCGCCGCGCAGCCGCCGCGCCGCGCCGGGGTACCTGCCGCCGAGGAGGCGCTGCGCCACGTCCTCGTCGCAGACGGCCGCGCACCCGACCGCCATGCACCGGATCTGCTTCTGCCCGCCGTTCACGCACGCGAAGAAGTGCTCCGTCCAACCTGAACCATTTCAACACATCACAATCACACACCTTTTGCAAACACAAAAAAAACCTTTCCAACTTGTGCGTGAACCGTGAAGTATATAATTGATGATGAAATTTCCCCGGGGAAAATTAACTCTCTGTCTTAAAATATAGGAAGATTAGATAAAGGTATATATTTTCGGACAGAGAGAGTACCAACAAAGCATCTAATTTTAAATTATGTTAAAAAAATCTATTTTTAAATTTTGATAATTGATATCAAAACAATACTTTGGATAGATTTTCTACTTGTCTACTTTATGGAGGAATGGATTAACGGGTATGTGATTTTCGCAAAACCTTTATATGTATGAATTTCTTATAATATTGATTCAAAAATACTACCTCCATTTTAGATTATAAGTTGTTTTGACTTTGACAACATCAACTTTAAGTTTGATCAAGTTTATAGATATTTTCTGTAACATAGTAATACTTTTTATAGTATATTTGTCTTGTGTTGAATATGTTACTACTTTTTTCTATAAATTTAATTAAACTTGGAGTGGTTTGATTTTCACTAAGTGAAAACGACTTATAATTTAAAGCGGAAGAATTACTTTTTCAACTTTATAATATTTAATTCATTTGTTTAACCTTGAACAATTAGCATAAAATCATTTATTTACTCAACCATTCAAATACACCCGATCATGAAAAAAGAACAGGGCAATGCAAGTGAGGAAGAAACCAAATTCTATAATTCTTCTTTTTCATGAAGACAGTTATAAGTTCTTCACAAATACAATTTATAAAGTTCTTCTGATGTAGTTTTACAGAACAAAAAGAAAACAAAGAAACAATAAAATGGAGAAAAACATGCAACTTACAGTCATTGCAGAAGCAGTGTCCGCAATCCATGGTGGAGACAGCGTCCGATGAGACATCCTCGAAGCACACGTAGCAGGTCACGCTGCTTCTGGGGCGCGGCGGCGGCGACGGCGACGCCGCCATGGCCATGCCGCCACCGTTCTTCTCCTCCGCCTGCTGCTGGATCACGACGCCGGTCTCCCTGAGCATGCGGTCTCGGCCCTTCCTGTCGAAGTGGTCCAGGATGGATTCCATCTTCCAGCGGTGGTGGATGAGGAGGGCGCGAGCTTGGTGCTGCTTTATGTAGAGCAGGTTCATCACCATGGACAGGTCTTGTTGCTGTGTACATACATACAGCGCAGGTAGATCGAGCATGTCAAGAAACACAATGTAATTTGTTACTAGTACTAATTGCTGTAGCACAAGCTGCAAGCTGCAGAGAACAATGTCAGGTCAGGTGGAGTGAATCACATTACCTGTGCAGCCGGAAGAGACTCTTCTGTAATGGCCTGCAACAACAACAGACATCAAAAGTTAATCAGTACAGTACATCTGGATTCATCCACAGGATTTTATTTTTTATGGGACGGAGGAAGTATATTGTAACGCTAATATTATGTTGAGTTGTATGCTAATGCTTAGTGCTAAAATTAAGATTCTAGTCGATCTAAAAGGGGGGAGAATCCATAAAAGCTCCCTAAGGTGAGTTCGTTTGGACGTTTGAAAGATAGCAAAATATACAAGAAAAAAGATAGAAAGAGACAACAACACCACTCACAATGAGAGAAAGGTCGACCCAATTTTAAGCTGTTGACATAAAAAAGTGAGCACGTTATTTAAAAAAAACTGCATAATCAAGTCATTCAACCCCCCCTCCAAACACTCACACTTTTTTTAAACGAAAAGTGGCAAAAGATTTGCCGAATATATTAGAAGGAATAAAATGTCAGATTACAGCTGGAAAGTGGCCGAGGGGGCTTGAACAACTTAGAAACTAGCAGCTAGCCTTTGGACAAATTAATTTGGCTTACATTTTTCCTATATTAAGGAGGCCACCTGGCTCTCGCTTCGCGAAATTTGGCGACACATACTTTTTATTGTTTCCCATACTTTATTAACTATCAATCGCACATTGTATAAATACATCTACTGCACACCAATTTTTTTCTATAGACTTTATACGTTTCATATTACTTGTCGTTGTAGTATTCAACTTTTTTCTTTATCAAAATGCTTCTTGTTCTCTCATTTGAAAGCATTTTCTAGAGGTGACATTCCCCCTCTACCCTATGGCAGTCACATATCAATACAGCCACAATTTTTATTGGCCCATCTCAAATAATCAGTGTTAATGATTGCTTTGAAAAAATAATTGGGGTATACTTAGTGATAGAAAAACAATTTGGATGTACTTCGATGAAGGTAACAATATAATCTTGCCACACTTCCTTGGTTTTACGTGAGATTTGTTAGAATGAGTCGACCAATCCGGCCAGTAGGTTAAATTTAACCCAACATACATAGTGGCTACATTTCAAATTGCTCGGTTTACCTGTGAATGTTTTTATGCATAACATCAGCGTGGATGGGATTTTTTAGGCTTGTGAGTATGCTATCCATTTATCATACAAAAAACATGCTAATTATGGCTGCAAATTAACTCACATATACCTTTCAGAAAAATATGTATCCCAGTTGTATTCCAAACTCGAACAACATTAAGCCGTGCACTAAAGCATACTCCATCTGAATCCAAGAGTACATGTTCTAAGCTTGCCCAGAAGATTTTGAAAAATTGGTCAAATCACTTTGTTGCGCTTCATTTATAGTACATTGAAAAGGATGATTCACTTATTTGTCACAAAATTAGCATTTATTTCGTAAAGACGAACTAGCAAGAAAAGAAAAGGTGCATATAAACAACTCCAGTTAAAGGACACAATTTTTTTAGGGGGGGAGGGGGTATCTGAGAACATATGCTAAAAGCCTAAAACGGTACATATTTGAAATCAGAGGGAGAAATCCATTGAAAACATATTTGGCAAGAATTTTTAAAGTTCACCGATGGTTTCACAAATGCAAAGCATAAAGAAATACTAACATATTATGCATGTGCATTAGAAGTAATGTAAAACCGTAACTCATTTTTTCCCCAGAATAACTAAAAGAACGCGCAAATTAAATCTGATCTAATGTCGTTTCTAATTCCTTCCTTTATTATGCTTGATATGCATCATGGATGGATCAGATCAAGATTTAACAAACATAATTAATCAATCCCCTTTGCTCAATCGATATGCGATCGCTATACGTACGTACGTCGGGATGGCTTTACTCACCCAGCAATCGACGGGGCGCTCCGGCAACGCCGCTTCCTCCTCGACCAGCATGGTGTCGCCGCCGCCGCCGTCGTCCCAGCCCGGCTCCTCCTCCTCCTCCTCCTCCTCCTCGTAGTCGTAGAAGCACTCCTCGTCGTCGCTCGACATGGCGCCGGCCGGGGCGGGGCGTGGGTATGGCGGCGGCAGGCGAGAGGAACGATCGATCGACCGGCCGATCGCGAGGAATTAAGAAGCCTACTATTATTACGGAAGGTGCTTATTAGGGTTTATGAGAGGTCGTCCTCCTCCGAGTTACAGAACTCAAGTGAGACACGGGTGACATCACAGAGGCTGTTGCTTTGACTGGGACATGGACCAAATTATTTGACACTTCGTGGCCCTGTTAATTTTTTTTATCTTTATCTTTATTTTTACTTTTTTTTCTTATATAAAAAGAACATAGTGGGGATGGTGATTTTCCCTGCAAGGGCTGAGATTCTTCCCGGGATTCTTTGTTTCACTTTAGATCTAGCGGTTGATATCCTATATCCTTCCCATGCTACTCCACCTATCTCTCTCTCTCTCGATCCCCCTAACATGAGCACCATCAACCACAATTACTCCCCTGCACCATCTTCGACCCGCTGCCCCCTTCCCCTCCAACGCGTCATCACCGGCTTCTCCCTCCGCCCCCCTCCACCCGGGCGGCTCATCTCTTCCTTCCCCGTGCCATCTTCGATCCACTGCCACCTCCCTCTACAGCTTGCCGCCACCAACTTCTCTCCCCCCCACCCCCACCCTGGACTTCTTCCTCTGCCACTCTTCCTCCCCGTGCCTTCTCCCTCTCATCCCAACATTACCTCTGCCTCCTCTCCATCCATCTTCTCTTCACCACTCTCCCACGTCTCCCCACACAGTAACACTCGCTCTCCCTGCCGCGCGTCCACGGTTCGCACGGACACGCATACATACAAACATAGTAGGAAAACCGACGGACGGACAAATCAAGCAGATTTCGTTTTTTAAGTACTAGAGAAGTACTATCTACTTTGATTCATCGGCACACTTCTCAAACCACTAAATAATGCGCTAATTGAGTGTCTTGTCCGGTAAGCCAGTTGGCTACACGCCCAATAAACATAATCAAACAAGGCTTAAAACTACATTGGGGAAATTTAGATGGCATGGAACCATTTTTGCGTTCCTTATATGTCATAAAAACATGTTATTCTTGTATATGCCACTGGACTGAATTTATTTATCATGTATGCCACTGCCATCAATATCGTGAATGAGCTGTTAAGTTATCTTCAAAAAGACAAATATGTCCTTACTTCTCTTTGTTTATGAGCCACTTCTTCCTCAATAAAAGGTCATGGACGGCTATCGCAAGGAGGCTTCATCTCGTCGGGTTTTCCATTTGGCAAGTTGCATCCTTAACTCAGAACACGAGTAAAGGTGGAGGGTGAGCTGAAACATAGTTTCACCTGTCATAGGAAATTGTTTCATCACTTTATCAAACGTTCCAACTCACTTCATAAAATACTTCAAACATATGAAGCATTCAAAAATATTGACTGCAACACCGACAACCACCATCTTATACATTAAGGTCCTCATTAGTGAAACATCAACATATTTGCAAAAACTTGACTTTATTGAAACGTTTTTACGCGTGAAACATCGAGTTGCAACTATCAAGTCTTCACAAAATACTTAATGAAACATGAAAAAGACACCATGTGCAACATTTACAAATGACCTCATAAACCATAAGAAAATACTTATTTAAACATCCAAATAACATCGTGTGCAACATTCAGAAATATTTGTTGAAAAAAACTAAAAAAAATATGATAATGTGATATCTTATTATTAAATATTTAATTATAACAAAAAAGTGCTAAATATATATTTTCATCAAAAATATAATCATGTATAGTCTCATGAAGATTTAATTGTAACAAATATAAAGATACATCTGGTTTATAAAGTAGATAAATAGTTCATGAAAAAGAAATACTATTTGAATATTTCTAATGAAACTGTTACATACATTAGAAAAAAAGACAGAGGCCCATGCAGCTAGCTCTCTCTTCTCTTCGAGTATGCATGTTTGGTTCTTCTCACCTTAGGTCCCATCGCTCAGCTTCTATACACAGTACGTTGCCTCTATTAGGCTGCTGCGTTCGTAACCTCCTGTTCCCAACTTTTCTTCCTTGTTTTCAGCGCGTACGTTTTTCAAACTGCTAAATGGTACGTTTTTTTGCAAAACAAAATATATATAAAAGTTGCTTAAAAAATCATATTAATCCTTTTTTTCTTAAAAAATTAGCAAATACTTAATTAATCACCCCCTAATCATTGCTTCATTTTCTGTGCGAGGGAGTGAGGCTGAATGCAGCCTTAAGCTACCAGATATGAGCGTTCCATTTTCTCTAGGACGTTGGGTGCTTCCTTATATTTTCGGACTAAGGTAATATATTCATCAGGAGAGGGAGTACAAGCAGAAAATGTGAATAAATGTCTACTACTAGGGGTGAAAACGGATCGGATAATATCCGATCCACTCTGCTCTGAATCCGTCCGAAATGAGGATATGGTATGGCCTTTTAGAAATTCGGCGGATATGGATGCGGATGCGGATAGTATGAGGCGGATGCGGATATGGTATATCTAAAATCCAGCGGATGTGGATTATCCGACATTTTTGTCGGATTATCCGATAGGCTGTTTGCCGGATAATCCGAAATTATCAATACATGTAACCACTCTATCTATTACATATAACACAAGTTGGTACATCCAATGGCCTAATTCATCAATTAACATAGATTTTTTTAGTCTAAGGCTTTTATCATCTTATATCACACTCGCATAGCTAAATTTTTATATTATGGACATCATCTATTCATGTTGTTTAGCACTTAATCATCTAATTATTACGATGAGTCATTTATTGATTATTGTATTAATGTTCCTTTTATCCGTACCATTTCCGACATCCGAAACAATTCGCTTCTCATCCGCACCCGTACATTATCCGCACCCGCTCCAAATCTGCTTAAAAAATATAATTTAGAATATGGTATGACAACTATCCATCCGAATCCGCTCCATTTTCACCCCTATCTGCTACATTACTACTCCCTCCGTCCCATAATATAAGGGATTTTGAGTTTTTGCTCGCACTCTTTGACCACTCGTCTTATTCAAAAAATTTGTGCAAATATAAAAAACGAAAAGTTGTGCTTAAAGTACTTTGGATAATAAAACAAGTCACAAAAAAATAAATAATAATTCTAATTTTTTTTGAATAAGACAAGTGATTAAAGAGTGTAAACAAAAACCTCAAAATTCCTTATATTATGGGACGGAGGGAGTACATAGTTAAACATTCTACAAGCAAAGATTGTGAGCGCACTCTGACACAGCAGCATCTCACTCCAGCGGCCGAGACAAAAGCCCAACAGGGCCCATATGTGAGTTGAGGTCCATCGGGCCCAAAACCCTAGCAAACCAAACCCCCCACCACCACCGCCGCCGCCTCTCTCTCTCTCTCTCTCTCTCTCTCTCTCTCTTTCTCCTCCTCCCCCTTAAACCCTCGCCTCTCCCACCTCCCGCCGCTTCCCCCTCTCGCTACGCCGCCGCCGCCGTCGAAGCTTGACAGCCGGAGTCCTCCGCCGAGCCGAGCCGCGCTAGCAGCCTGCGGCTCCCCTCCCCCCATCCCTCCCCCGGCCATGGCGCCTCGTCCGCGGAAGCGGGTCTCGCGGCCCAAGCCACGCGCCACCTCCCGCGGCCGCGGCGGCGGGGATGAGGACCCCTTCTTCGAGTCCGAGCCCAAGCGGCGCCGCGGGGGCGGCCGCGACGAGGACATCGAGAGCGAGGACAGCGACCTGGAGGGCGTGGCAGCGGCTGCTGCTGGTGGCGTCGGCGACGATGGGGAGGAGGAGGAGGAGGAGGAGGAGGAGCAGGAGACGGCGGGGGAGAAGAAGATGCGGATCGCGAAGGAGCTTCTCAAGAAGGTGACGGACGCGGCGAGGAGGAGGAGGGAGGATGACGAGGACGAGGACGAGGGCGAGGAAGCCGGCCGGAGGCGGGTCGCCGATATCCTCCTCAAGAGGCAATTCGAGGAGAGTGGCAGGAAGCGGATGGAGCTCGCCGACAGGTGAGATCTTCTTCCCCCCCCCCCTAAATGTCGGTGGGAATTGTTTGCAAATTCCAACTTGCAGCCCCCTAAATGTGGACAGTAGCTCTGAATGTTTGCGCCCTCAATTGCAACGAATTTTACACGACAATTTCGTCAGTGGTCAGAGTCAACGAAATTTACACGACAATTTCGTCAATGGTCACAGTTCATAACCTGAAATGAAGAGGACATGTATCTCTGATGTTTTAGGGTAGCAATTTGGATCAGAGTGAGGTTCCATTGTCTGTACTAATTGATTAGTTCCAAATTAATAGCCCTTTGCGTTTTGCGAGCTGACAAGCACACGGGTCAGGTTACATGTATGCGTTTGGGGTTTTGCTTAGGTACATAGGTGGGTGCTTTTAGGGGTGGAATATGGACAACATTCCTGCTAATATATGGTTATCTGAGTGTGGTGGTACAATGATATATCCTCATGGAGGGAAATAAAGGGCTATAATCATGGAGAGAAATAAAGGAATACACTGGCTTGAACCAGTAGGTTATACTATGTGGAAAGAGTATTTATTTTCATGTTAACTTCGCCAAGATCTTATGTTATTGGCTTATTGCTTATATAAGACCAACCGAACAAAATGCATCGAGGGGAAAATATAGAGTTAACAACAAACTAGAGATGTCCTGAAACCAACCATTAAAACAGCCTGGTTGCCTAAAACTGTCCTGGATCCTCTAAACTTTCTAAAACCTCGTATTTATTCTTGATTCTTGTTATCTTGTAATTTTCTGCTTTCAACTTTTTGTCATATATTTGTATTACACTGATCTTACTTGCAACATAGGAGTTAGTTTCGAAATACATGTGAAGTTCTTGTTGTGAATGATGCACTCTTGGCCTCTTGGGATTCAAGCAGTTGTCCTTTTATGGCTCCAGCAAGTGCATTGGTGGTACTGAATTGGGACATCCAAACAACTGTATATTCAAATGTTTCTGTTAGAACCAAACATGAGAGGAAAATCGTTTATAGTCACAAGTAGTGGGATGTGCCATAATGGAAGAAGAAAGTTGGAGTTCACATCTACCCCTCCTCTTCCGCTTGCTATTGGTTTTTTTTGCAACCTGTACACTTTGGCATAATGTTAATTTACGCAGAATCTGCTACTCTGCTTATAGACAGTAGTTCACAAACTGGGGCGGTTAAAATATTAGGAAATATTGCTTGCTACATGATTATATATGCCCTCAACACCTGAACCATATGGCATTTATTTTATCTACAAAATTAGATGTGTTTGCATGTGGAGCTTCTTCCAATAATTTCTCATTTGCCATCCCCATCCATTTACTTTTTACTTAGGTTGTATTCTCAATTCATGCGTGATCTATTTGGATAATGTTCCAAAACTAGCATGCTGAAACGGAATGAAACGTGAGCGGAAGAACTATACACATTTAGATGGCTCGGGAATGCATTTGTCATCATGATTACTGAAGGTGCTATCCACAAGTCACTTGTATATGACATCAGTTATCTGGGTGTGGTAACTGTCTACAGCTGTTAAAAGCTATATAAATATGATAACCTTTTAATTGAATCCATCTTTTTTTTAAAAAAATCTCTAACTAAAAGGTGCAATAAGATAATATAAGTGTTCTTGAAATACTGATCACATAAATGGTGAGGTTAAAATAGATATGACTAAAATTTGCAAAACTATTGCAGGATATTACAACCAGATCCTGAGGATGGCTTTAAGATGCTCGTGAAGCACCGACAACCAGTTACTGCTGTTGTTTTATCCAAGGACAGTGATAAGGGATTTTCAGCATCAAAGGATGGAGTCATTGTGCATTGGGATGTTGAAACTGGAAAAAGTGAGAAGTATTTATGGCCAAGTGAAAATGTCTTGGTTTCTCATCATGCTAAGCCACCTCTATCAGCTAAAAGAAGTAAGCAAGTATTAGCTCTAGCTGTTAGTGCAGATGGTCGTTACTTGGCAAGCGGAGGTTTGGATCGTCACATCCATTTATGGGATGTTCGGTCACGGGAGCACATACAGGTAGTTAGTACAGCAATTTAACAATAACATGTTGTAATTTAAATTTCTGATGATATACAGTTGAAAAATGCAATTTTGCTTGCATCCTTGGACCATGTGATTGTCGTTTTGCATTGTGTTTATATCTGTACATGTATTGCCATGCCTAATTCTCACCTGACAGTCCTGTCCAATAGCTGTTGCCTTATTGATCAACCTACAATATTGTGTAGGTAAAAAAGCAAGTGCATGATCAAATGCTGCTTGCAAATCTATATAGCACTACAGATAGCCTGGTTTGCATATACCCATTCTTCACTGGTGCATTTGTTTTGTTATTCTAGCTGGTGCCAGGTTGTTGCAACGCTTGAGCACGGAAATATTATTCAATTACTAGCTTGTTTATTGTCAATGTAACCTGTAATAGAACACCTATTTCAATGCTTTATCAGAGATTCACAACAATTTTCTCTGATACATATGAACATATTATTCAATTAAACTGAAAATTAAACTGAAAGGTTGCTATAAGACTTCCATGGACTGCATAGATTTTATTTTTTTGTGGTCCACAGAGGAAGTATTTGAGCCATGTTATTTGTTAGACTTCAAATATTTAGTGTTTTGGTTGCAAAATAGATATACTTTTGTATATATTTTAAGCCACCAAGAAGGCAATGTAGAATCTCGGAGTGGTATTCTTCAGGGGTAGAATGTATTAGTTGATCTAAACTAGCCATAATTGTTCCGGGATATACACTGCATTTTTTCTTACTGAAAAGAGAGTGCCGAAAAATCAGTGTAACCTTGCTTGCAGTTTAACTGAGCTCTTCTTATTGGTGCCATCTTTCTTGTTCTTTCAACATTATAACCGTCTGTTTTGATTATTTTCATCAGGCATTTAGTGGTCATCGAGGAGCAATATCTTGTCTTTCCTTTGGACCAGACTCATCGGAGCTATTCTCTGGTTCTTTTGACCGTAAAATAATGCAGTGGAATGCAGAAGACAGAACGTACATGAACTGCCTATTTGGCCATCAGAACGAAGTCTTGACAATGGATGCACTTAGTAAAGATAGGCTTTTGACTGTAGCACGGGACCGAACAATGCATCTTTGGAAGGTACATCTTTCCTTAAAAGTGTGTGTATGCACATGCACTAAGATTATTTACATATTATAACTGAAAGAAACTGTTTAGTTAAACATTGTTCTAGGATTAAGATACATAGAAATATTATTTTCCCATTGTTCATTATGGTGCGTGACTAACCAAAATTCACATATTGTTTGTGAATCCCTAATAATGTTATAATATTATGGAAGTATGTCTCTTAAAAAAATCTACTTGTATTGTATCATTTTCAAATGGGAAATCTAAATAACCATGATGATGCTGACCAAGGTAAAACTGATTGGACCACATGAATTTAAGGATATGACGCTTAGACTGGCTTGACTCTGGTGTGTGACTCAGTATTTAACCTGAAAGTTGAAAACTCTTGTGTGGACAGATACCAGAAGAATCACAACTACTGTTCCGTGCTCCTGCTACTGCATCATTGGAGTGTTGCTGCTTTATTGATGACAAGGAATTTTTAACTGGATCTGATGATGGAAGTGTTGAGCTTTGGAGCATTATGAGAAAGAAGCCTACTCACATAATAAGAAATGCTCATCCAGTATTCCGTAACAACCTTAATTCGCTTGAAAATAATGTTGAGGGTAAGATGCTATACGAAGAACAGTTTACTACTTCATGCAAAGTTTTCCTATACTTTGAGTTTACATCTGTTTTATTTTCACCTTTTTTCTCGTTCTGTTATTATGTAGTTCTTTTTGTCGTTGAGATGTCAATCAATTTGATTATCAATTTTCATCATCACCACAGTATTTTTTTTTTGTTCTGTGTGTATATGTGTTTCTTATCTATTGCTTTGCACCTCAAATGCAGAAAATGGCATACATAAACCTGAAAGTGTCTCATCAGCCCAATCATGGGTTAGTGCTATTGCTGCAAGAAGAGGTTCTGATCTTGCTGCATCAGGAGCAGCAAATGGTTCAGTTCGTCTTTGGGCTATTGAACCTGATTCTAAGGGCATTCGGCCATTATTTAGTTTGAGACTGGTAAGCTACACTAGCTACTCCATGATACCCCTTTGGATGTTATTATGAAAATAAAATGCACCATAGATAAGCTACCAAGGTCCCAAGACACCTCTGACTGTTTTGACTTGGCATTACTGGAATTTATTGTCTCAGTTCTAGGTCCTTTGGGATTTTTAGTTGATTGTATAATCATATTAGTTACGTTCACTAACATTTTCTGATTGTTGTACTTCATAGGAGCGTATACTTTGGCCTGATAATTATACTCCCTCGGTTTTACAGCATTTATCAGGACCACCATGGGTCTTAGATCAAGACACCAGATCTAAGAATTAATATGAAATAACTGTGCACCTACTAAATGCCATACTACAATAGTACAGCTGCTCAGCTTCTTTTATGCAATTAATTGAATTGGGTAGAAAATGAAAACATTGCAAATCATGCATCTTGCTTTCCCCCAATAAATAAACAGTGAAAATGGCACTTTCCAAGAAAAGGGGCAATCGTTTCAGATGACAAGGTTATTGTACTGCCAATGCTAGAAAAAACTGAGTCTACATATTTTTACTGTTGGTTGCAAATAATTGATACATTTTGTTCTACCATTATCAGGATGGATTTGTTAATTCTCTCGCCATCCCGAAATCTGGACGCTTTATTGTTGCTGGTGTGGGCCAGGTCAGTATATTAAATCCCCTTTGTTAATTGTTACAGAAAAGTTCAGTTTTTTTTAACCTTTGATATCAGTATGTTCCCAAGATTATCTTGAGAATGCAACAGGGATGGAAAAACTTAATTTTCCGGTTTAATCATTGACATTAAGTTCTTGAAACTTTTTTAGAGCATGGAAACCCTATCCATTTTCATTGATTACAATGGAAAATATCGCCTTGACTAAAAAGCTTATTACGAGATACTATTCAGCAAATAAAGACTGGGAAGCAGCAACTATATTGAACTTATCTTTCTGGCTAAACACTTAACTGATTGAACTAAAATTCCCACTGTACACAACTTACAACATTTTATTAATAGAAGTAGAGCACCCTATCCTGCTACGTTTTGAAACTCCATGACAGCCTCAAAAGTGAATGCAGATTGCAGAATTGCAGATTCATCATCGCATTCTCTTGTTCATTAGCCGATGAATAGGAATACTACTGCCTTGTAATCCTAGCACTACAAGTGGACCAGATACCATTTATGTTAATCCATTCCATAGTCTTCTATACTGTTGCAACACAGTACTCTTTTTAGTTTCGTTTCAAAATCCTAAATTTTATACTGATATATCTTTTATTACCAGGAGCCTCGTCTTGGAAGATGGGGCCGTGTCCGATCAGCTCAAAATGGAGTTGTAATCCATCCAATCCGACTAAAAGAAGAGAGCGAGGACTTGTAGGGTAGTAGTAGATGGTTGATGCCGAAAAACCCCTTAAATGTTGTTAAGTCACACAAAGGACAAATCCCTTCCACCTTGCATTTTTTTGCAACCATTCCCACCGATGAAATTCGATACAAGAGGCTGAACGGGTTACCTTCACAAGCAATGGGAATTTGGAGGGGGTGTTACAGACCATTTGAGCTGAAGAATTGAGATGTATTCTGTAGAGGAAGTCCCGTCAGGCAATTTTGTAGCATTGCTTCCTTAAGTTTAAAGACAGATTTTTTTTATGTATCAAACAAGTAGGATAAGGCGGTTTTGAAAATTGGCCTTTGATTCAAAAATGCCTTGATCAATTGTTCTCTACAATTGGAGTGGTTTATATCAGATAGAGAATTGCACACGGGAGGATTTTGAGGCCCTGAACTATGTACCAATACTTTATTGATCTAATCCCTTAAAACTATGCAACTGTAAATCCATTTTTTTGGCTAGTTTAATTACTGTACTCAAAACTGTTCGTTGTTGACCTGGCTTGCGTGTGGCCCAAATCTGATAGTACTGGAACGTGTTTTGGATCGTCTATAGTGGCAAGATTCTTTTCACCGAAACATACGCAGACTACGAAAACTGAAAGATCCTTTGGTTCTCGAGAGGCTAGACACTGTCGGTGTTCTTTACCTTCAACCTATCTATATTTCAGCATAGCCAAATAAACGCTTTTTGAGCTTTTATGATTTTTATAGAAAATTTTCTATATATTTTTCTTAGAATGTTGTTTTAAATCCTTTGTCAAATTTTATTATAATTAATTCATTCATTTGTATCTCGGATAATTATGAAAACCATTCAGATATTTAGTTATCCGGCAGAAAAGGACAGAAAGATATAAAAGACATTAAACTTAGAATCCTGACACAACAATGCAACTTGTCTTGCTTAGTGCTATAAACAGAGGGCGTCAATTGCTCATAGGGATCCATCATGATGTACCCAAGAGAAAATCTAAATCGCTCATTGTGATGCTCTTTGTGATGACCCTTTGAAACAAATTTAATTTGCCTTTTGCAACTTGGTCTTATTGGTTAATTTTCAGTAGGAAAACGAACTTTTGATGTCTCATATTATATAACACTAGATGTTATGCTGCAGATTAGGAGAATCTTCTCAACAATATTATATAACACAAGATGTTTTGCGGCAGATTAGGAGAATCTTCTGAACAATGTTTAAATACTGCCTAAGTTAATTTTATAGGATATATATTTTAATTTCAAATGTCAAAGTTCGTAGATTTTGATCACTAACAGTAACAGTCACTCAAATTACAAATACATGTTTTTTTTATACAAACCATGTAAATCAATATGCCCGAATTGTACAGTGTTTCCACTCAATATTGCTTTTATAGCTAGTATAAGAATTTATCTATCCTAGCTGCCCCTAGGGGGGGATCTTAGGATCCATGTAACCAGTGTGATGTAAAAACTCTCTTTCCTTCCTGAAATGAAATCGACATAGCTCCTGCCCTTACCTCACGGAAAAAAAAAGAATTATCTATCTTATGAGAAGAATGGTCAATGCTTAGAATACTATTTTGAAACCAAAATACGCCCCAACAACCAAAAAATAAGGCAAGTATAGCACTTTAATTTCGAATGAACATTACGTCCTTCGCTCAGGCGTAAGTAAGTCAAATCTACATACTGACACACACACACACACACACACACACACACACACACACACACACACACATATATATATATAACTTACCTGATAAGCACAGTGAGGTTAGCGGCAGCTGCCAAACTGGAAGCTAGCCTTGTCTGTATGTCAAGCCCCGATGAACTCCTTGGCCTTGTCAGGGCCGTCCGGCTGGTACGCGGCAATGTTCATGGGCTGGACGAGCAGTGGCAGGAGTTCGTCCTGGATGCACCTGTACAACTGCCCGCAGATTGCCTGGACGATCTTGGCGAGGTTGGCAATCTCCACCTTCTTCAGGACGATCTCCTCCTCCGGCAGCCCCAGCAAGTCCGTGGCGAGCTCCTTGGAGAGATGCTCAACGTGGCGCTCCAGCTGCTCCTGCCGGTCCTCGAAGAGGTTCTGCGCCACGGCGAGGCTCGCCCGCTCCGACGGGTGCGTCTTCACCTCGCCGCCGCCAAACATGTAGTAGGCGAAGGCGTACGACCGCGACAGCACCTGCCGCGATGCGAGCAGGGATTGGTACGCCATGGCGAGCCAGCTACCGTCCCAGTTCATCTTCGGACCTGTTAGGTTCGACTCCAGCTTCTTCACCTGCTCCTCGACGGCAGGCCCAAGATCCTTCTGCTCCACCTTGTACGAGCCGGCGTGGATGTTGTAACGGTCCCAGTAGTGCGTGTACCGCTGCATCTGCTGTCTGCTGGTGTCCACCTTGTCGCCGTTTTCCTCCTTGTAGCGGTTGCAGCTGTGGCCGGAGATGCTATCCCAAGTGTGCTCCCTCCCGGTAGGCCCACCACAGAGCCAGCTGCATGCATTCAGTAGGGTCAGCAATTCAAGATACTAGAGTACCCCTCTGTCCAAAAATAAACCAATCTAGTACGGAATGTGACACATCTTAATTTTACGAATCTAGACAGTCCTAGTATGTGTCATATCTCGTACTCCCTCCATACTCACAAAGGAAGTCGTTTAGGACAATGTTTAAGTCAAACCTTGGGAATATAAATCATGAATAACTCTCAAGTTGTTGAGTTTGAAAATGTAAAAATTATATGAATATATTTGTCTTAAAAAATACTTTCATAAAAGTATACATTTATCACTTTTCAATAAATATTTTTATAGAAATAAGAAGTTCAAGTTGTGTTTTGGAGACCGTGTCGCTGTCCTAAACGACTTCCTTTACGAGTACGGAGGGAGTACTAGGTTAAATTATTTTGGGACAGAGAGAGTAGTAATCAAGGAGATGAAAAACTGATTTTAAGCTAGATACACCATCGCCTATTCCCAGGTTGCCGATCACCATAGAGAGCAAGCTCACTCACCAAATGATGAAAAGCTCCCACCGCTAAACCCTGCGTGGATATGTGTGTAACAACTGACAACAGCTTACCATAGACACTGGCCGCACTTGCAATGGACAAGGTTGCAGCCACCGTTCTTCTCGATGGGCTTGGAGCACTTGGGGCAGCTCTTGGTGTTGGCAAGAATCCACTTGACGCTATCCGAGTCTCCATGGCCCTTAGCTTTCCACTTCTCCCATATGGCACATGGGCAAGGCGAGTGCACCTGCCCTGCACAGTTGAAGCAGAAGCTGACACCACAGGGGCAAGCGACCTCGCAGTACCTCTCGCCGGTGCCTACCTGGATTGCGCGGCCACAGTGTGGGGCACTGGGGCACCACTTCACTGAGTCATTGTCCTCAAGGTAAGACTCAAGTAGGAGGAGATCGAAGCGCTTAGATGCAGCAGGGTACTTCAGACTGAGGAGGCGGCGCACAATGTCCTCATCACAAATGGCCTTGCACTTAACCTCCATGCACCGAATCTGCTTGTTGCCAGTATTAATGGATGCAAAGAAGTGCTCTGTCCAACCTGAAGAAAAAAAAAGATAGGTAAGAAAATGTGCAGTGTTTTGCTAACAAATATGTCCTACTGTTTTTCATTTTTATGAAAACCTAGAAACTATTTGATACATTAGGTTGATGAATATTCTTAAGGAAAATCGAATGCCACCGAATAAAAAGGTTTATAGTAATGTAATAGCTGTAAGGATCAGGACATCAGAAGGAAGTTACTGAAGGGTTCGTAGGGACTCACAGTCATTGCAGAAGCAATGCCCACAGTCCATGGTCGAGACATCAGTCATTGAGAAGTCCTCAAAACACACATTGCAGGTAACACTTGTTGAGCTAGCTGCTGACATGCTATTCTTCGGCAAAATAATGCATGCCTCACTGAGCATGCGGTCCCGCCCCTTTCTGTCAAGGTGATCATAAATGCAATGCATCTTCCACCGGTGGTGGATAAGGAGTGTGCGTGCAAGGTGCTGCTTTATGTTGAGCAAGTTCATTACCATAGACAGGTCTTGTTGCTGTGGGTAGAGTAGATACACAAAACAGTCAATTGATCTCAAGTATAGGTAGGACCAACATAATCTGAATCTCGAAATGGCAAGAATGACTAGAGCAACATTACCTGGGCAGCAGGAAGTGACTCTTGTGTGATGGCCTACAACAACAGTTATACATGTCAAAATAACTAAATAGATCTTCTCAGGAGAAAAAAAAACAAATTAAGGCTTCAGTTCCATTCACTTGATTTGAATGCATAAATGACAAATCCCAGGCAATGTGGAGATGATAATATTTTTTCTGTGAGAACAACAAGATAAATTATTTGGAGCACAGTTTTTACAGTAAAGATCAATGCATTGGTGGTGACAGACGGGAACTTAACCAAACATAGGTAAATTGTGCGAAAGATATCTATTCGTGATACCCTAATTAGCAGCTAAATTAAAAAAATGGTGATTTGTAAATATTAAGCTAATCAGCACAAAGAAATGAATGCATCCAATGCAGCATACATGGCTCATGCGCTGCTTGAAGTTGTACACAATAATAAATGTAGTAATAATGTACAAGTTTAAGAAACAAAGCTGCGCATGTCAACCATTCTATTTGTAAACCAAATTTACATGTTCTAAGATACGATAATTGCAAAAAAAAAATCAACAGAATGCAATAAAGGCAAATTAATTATAATACAAAGCTACAAGGACAACTAGTTTGTGAGAATTGGATGATTTTTGATGCAGATGATCAAACCCTTGCAGGGAAAAGAGGGATTGAATTGATTTTGTACTCCTAAATCCTAATACTTAGAGGTAAAACCAGATTGGAACTAATGTAGTTATTATGAGGGTGCAAACAAGAGCAATTAATTTAAAATACTTTGTTTTTTCTCTCAAATCACACACCGGAATTCCAAAAACAATCGGCATTACTACTAGTAGTACAAGATAAGAAGCCAATCCCCATCCCGATCCGGTAAGCGACCAGACGGCGTCTTCTCCATAATATCTTGTTGTGTGCAATCAGCGGCATTACTATACTCCACCCATGACGCAGGCAGGATAACCCAAACGGCACAAAATTAAAAAAAAAAATCAGAGGACGACTCTTTTTTTTTCCTACTAGATGGATTCGAGCACCGCGCCGCGCACGATCAGGAGGCGGCCTAGCACGCATCCATCGAGCGAGTTGAGTTCGCCCCCTATCTATCCCCCTCCCGTGGTGTGGTGTGGTGTGGTGATGAAGTGATGATGGGGGGTGTAGTAGTAGCGCATGCTCACCCAGCAATCCGCGGGGCGGTCGTCGGGAAGCCGCAGGTGAAGGTCGTCCTCCTCGAGCAGGCCGACGTCGTCCTCGTCGGCCTCCATCGCCAGCCACTCCACCTCCTCCTCGCCATCGCCATCGTCTTCTTCGAAGTAGTAGTAGCGGCGGTCGCTGGCCATGGGCGGCGGCGGCGAGGAGAGGAGGGGTTGGGTTTTTTTGATCGCCGCGTGTCAGGTGTGTGTGTGTCCCCGCTTAATTACTGTTATTTGGGGGAAAAGGACCGGGGAATTAAGGGCTGGTATTTCGGGTTTGAAGGGTCGTGTGCAGTAAAGTAGTCCGATCGACTCGACTCGATCATAGACTAGGAGAACGAGAAAGATTTGGTTTGATGAGACATGTTTAGTTCGATTAAGATTATACAATCTAGGAGTACTAGATTTTAGCTAAGATTTTTTGTTAGCGCGCTTTTCTTAATAAATAAATGATTAAACGGTGTATTTCATATGGAAATCTTTTCATATAGAAGTTACTTTAAAATACTACTCCCTCTATCTATTTTTGATAGTCATATTTCCAAATCTGAGAATTTTATTTTTGATAGGCATATTTCAATCCAACAACCTATCCTCTTAATGACTTTCTTGAATTTAATACGTGGCTCTCCATTCCTCTACACATGATTGGCTACATGGGCATCGAGAAATATAAATATTAATGAATCGCTTGTTTACGAGAAATGACTAGTAACATGTTTAAATGGATGATAAGTAGAGTTACTTATCCTTGGTATGTGTGTCAAGATGAAATATGACTATCAAAAGTAGATGGAGGGAGTATCATATAAATCTATTTTTAAATTTAAGAGAACTAAAACTTAATTAATTGATAGTTTTCTCGTTTCACGTACATGTACTTAATCTTCCTCAACAATTATGATGGTATTTTAACAGCAAGTTTAATAGTGTAGCCCACTACTTGCTCCAAATTATCTATAGCCAATGTAATAGCCAATTTATACAATACTTGCTTACTATACTATTAATATCTGGTCCTACCTGTTATACACATATTACGTCTTGGAGTCCATGCTGCAGCTGGCTACAAATCTGTAGTCTGCTGCTCTTCTCTCTCTTCCTTTATCTCTTTAAAATATATTTATAGCATGCTATAAGCCTGCTATTGTACCTGCTCTAATTATGGCATCATAAGATAGCCTTATTCCCTCTCCAATTCTCCGTTGGATCTCCTTTATTAATTTTTATCAATGTGTTCGTAAAAGCAGGTACAATAGCAGACTATAAAGCCAGCTATAAACACATTTTGAGAAGATAAGAGAGAAGAGAGAAGAACAGCGAGCTACATGTTTATAGCCAGCTGTAGCACAGACTTCAAGATGCATGTACGTATGACACGTGGGACCAAATATTAATTGTGTACTATATGTTTATAGGTAACTATTATATGAATTGACTATAGATGATTTGGAGCCAGTAGTGGCTATACTATTAAACTTGCTCTAATATTGTACCATTTTCAATTCTCAAGCAACTTTTCTCAAAGGACGCACTAGGAAACCCTTCTGTTTTATATTATAATAAGTCACTTTCATAATATGTTAATTAAATCTAACATTGAGTATGTTTTCATAATATGTTTGTTTTGTATTAAAAATACTATTGTGTTTTCCTATAGACTTTATTAAATTTAAAAAAGTTTTACTAGGGGAAAAGGTCTCAAAAAACAGAGGGAGTAGTATCTTATGCACATTATGAATGGGATGGGTTGGTTGGTCTACTATTATATTATCATACTATATCTACTACCGCTATTTTAGAAGCCCGTATTTAATGGGACTGTGATGCACTTCATGACATATGGTTTCTCGAGAGATGATGTGCATGCAATTCGAGTTGTTCAAGTTTTAGGCATGGTGTCACGTGTGCGTGTGGAACTCACACACACTTCTGGTTGGGTACCTGATATGATCTCTCTATAGGGTCTTCTTTTCCTCTTGTCATCGTATTCGTGATGTGATGGTGGTTTCAAACAACTTCTCCAAAAGGGTATAGTATTATGAATCAGATGGATGGGTCGTTGGTTGGTCCATCGTACTATATTACCCTTATCTATCGTCGGTTAAGAAGGTGTGTATAACGGAGTTGAGACGCATTACTTCATGGTATGGTCTTTGAGATGGAGTTTCTAGCCAAGACTACTTTAGTATATGGATATAATCTATGATAAGTCTGAATGATTAAGGAGACGCTTAGACATAATCATAATTTATATAGAACTCTCATACGCATGCATTAGTAATTTTAGAGTATTCTACAATTTTTTAAGCATAAACCGAGTTACTACCTCAGCACAATAATATATATATGTGCAAACTGGGAATATAGCCAGTTTTACATAGAGGTTCCTTGTGAATGTGCAAATTACACATTAGTCCTGAAAAACTAGCATATTAAGTCGTGTGTTCACACGACTATGACCTCTCCATCTATTAAATATGTTTATATGTTGTTTATGTTAATGGACATAAATGTTTAATAATAATTAATAATAAATATGTTTCTAACATAATTTTTAAAAAGTGTAGCTATAACATTAATGGATTTATATGCCTTGATTTGTCATTAAGATTATCATCGTAACAACAAATAATTTATCATATATTACCGTGACCATTACCTACTACAATATCTAAATGCATCGATTGTAGTAATAATGTAAAGAAAGACTCAATAACAAGAGGAAAAAGCAATCAGGTCCTTAACTTTGCATCTTTTGCAAACTGCAACAGCCAGAACTTATACAACAACAATGGGAACAAAAACACCATGGCAAGCTGCACAAGATGAAGCCTAGTTGCAAACCCAAACGGCCCTCTGAAGGATGGAGGTTAAAGCAACATAGGCAAAGCAGAGATACACTTCGGTCGCCCTTTTTTAAATCATCGGCAGAGTCGACAAAGAAGACCTTGTTAGGAGTAGAAGTGGAACTAACCTGCCAATCTTTGAAACATATCTTGACTATAATTTTTTATTATAACATATAAAATAATGGAAATTAAATATTTAATTTTACTAAAATACCTTTTATGACTAATTTATACATCGTGTTCTAAATGTGAATTAATTTTTTTTAAAGTTATTAATAGTTAAAGTTTCTATATTTGATTTCCTTCTTATCCAAAATGTTAAAAATTATGAAACAGAAAGAACTATGAATTATTTATCTAAGATATGCTACAGATTATGCAAGACAAACTTATGCTAGAATTGCTGCAACCTGGAGTACATGATAAATCATTTCAGATATTTTAAAAGTTTAATCAGATCTTATCATAAATGATGAATATTTTTGACCAAAGGGAATAGTTTAGACAATGTTGTCATTTAACATTTTGCTGTGGCAGCCAGATCCAACAACATGGCTATTTTTGACTCTCCATTTGTCTATTTGGCCAATTAGACAAAAAGATTCCTTTCCATATCTGTTGCACACACTCCAACAGACTCTCCAAATCCTAACGACTAGTTCCCTCTCGTCAGGGGATGGCGGCGGCCTCGGGAGGGGATGACGGTGGTCTCGGCAGCGGATGACGGCGGCGTCGGCAACGGACGACGACGCAGCGGCCTCGGTAGTGGAGGGCCACATCCGGTCTTAGTAGGGGATAGCAAATGGTCTCGACTGTAGACGATGGGGCGTTGACAATGGATTACGATGCGTCGGCCTCTGCAGTGGACGACGACGGCGGAGGGGCAGCGGCCTTGGGTGCGGACGATGGCAACCTTGGCAGTGGGGCGGAGGGGCGGTGTCGGTGCTGGCGGGGGTTGCGCGCCGACACGCTAGATCTATGGAGTGGGGAGAGTAGTTGCGTGATATGACAGGAGGAAATCGCTCCATTTGAGGGAGAGAGAGTACGGGACGGGAGGGGAGAGGGGAAAACGCGTGGGGCCATGATTGGCAAGGTGATTTTGGCTGCTCAAAGTTGACCAGCGCAAAGAGGAGTTTGGCCAGCTGGATGGCTTGGCGTCTTGTTGGTTAGTCTGTTGAAATGTGATTTTTATATCTAAAATTATTAAAATTAAATTGAAGAGTAGGGTAGCAAAATTAACTTGGAGAGTAGGGTAGCCACGCTTTTGAAGGAGAAGAAGAAACAGAAAAAGGAAATACAGAGAGAAATGAAGGCCAGAGGCTGGCACAGTCTACCGTAGCAAGCAGCGACCGAACGAGTCCGTGTCCGGTACTCCGGTTCCAGTCGCAAGTCAAGTCCTCCCACAAGTCAACCAACCAAAACCACGTCCAAAGTCGAACCCGACCATCTCCCACCGTCCCCGCGGTAAAAAGGTAAAAAAAAAAGAAAAAGAAAAACAGGCAGTAAAAACGGTAAAAAAGAAAATGATTTGGTTTTTGATTGATTAATCTCGACTCTTTGAGGAGTCTGAGGCGACACCAACTCATCCCTCTTCCCCAACCGCGGCCCACCTCGTCGTCCTCCTCCTCTCCTCAGATCGGCGGCGAGCGGCGGCGGCGGCGCACGGGCGATGGCGAAGTCGAGCGCGGACGACGCCGAGCTGCGGCGCGCGTGCGCGCAGGCCGTGGCGGCTTCGGGGGCGCGCGGCGAGGAGGTGTCCTTCTCCATCCGCGTCGCCAAGGGGAGGGGCATCTTCGAGAAGCTCGGCCGCCTCGCCAAGCCCCGCGTCCTCGCGCTCACCGGTCACTGCCTCCCCCCCCTCCCTCCTTCCTTCTTTCCTCTCTTCTCGCTCTGCTGCAGCTTTGCTGGTTTGTTCCCCTGCTTCGATTCGGTCCACGGTAGCTGATTTGGTTGCTCGGAGAGGGATCGCTCTGGTGAGACTCGAGAAGTAGTAGTAGTAGCTGATTTGGTTGCTCGGGGAAAAGCTACCATGTTTAGGGAGAAAATGTCACGCTGCCCTAATCCTGTCTGATCTTCGCTGCCGAGATCCTTGCTCGGATTTGGGATTCGAGTTTCGTGATCTGGGGAGCTTGGATCGAGCGATGGCCTGTGGTTGGACTTCGGTTGACAGCCTAGACCACTAGGGGACTATACAAGGTGTTGTTTTGGGCAGAGATCCTTTTTTTTTTTACTTATTCTATGCGGTTAGCTGTAAATTGCTAAAATTAGTAAATTTTCGTGCATGCGCCACTGGAGCTCCAAATGAGAATCTGCCATACTGTGCAAGGACACAGAATCATCAGAGTTTTGGAAGCTGGAGCTGATCCTATACTGGAAGTAGCCTACACTACAATTCGATCCTATACTTGAAGCATCTTGTACAAGGAACATTTCTTTTAGAGCTTTCATCATGCGGTGTTGAGACCGAAATTTCGAATACCGGTACACAAGAGTTAATGCATGGATTGATAGGAACGTCTAAGCATCTCACCAGACCAGTAATCGTTGGAATCGACTAGGTGTTGGAGCTGATTGGA